AGCTGCCTCTTGCACACCCCCTACTGGGGATGTGCCCACAAATACGGTACATGCCCTTGACCGGAATCGAACCCGGGACCTTTCAGTCCACAGGCCGCTCTATCCACTGAGCCAAACCGGTTTCGGCATAGGACTATCTTTTGTCTCTTCAGGCCTTGTCTTTTCAGATGAGGAAATTGAGGTTTAGGTTCAGAGAGGTTAAATGACTAGCCCAAATATCACAGCAGTGAGAGGATGGTTTTTGCTGAGCCCCAAACTAGTTAGTCTACTACACTTATTCGTTGGTGGTTAGGGGATTGATACCTAGGATTTTATGTCAAGAACAGGCTGGGGCGTGGCAAACAGCGATGGCTGCCGTCAGCCTTCTCTGCCCTACGGGGTTTCCAAGTCCCCACATTTCCAAGACCCTGTGTCCCTGCGACTCGGCGCAGTAAACAATGATTGCTGCACGCACCTCTGCAAGAGAGTCACCCTCACTTCCGGACCCGGTGGCCAACTTCTCTCCATAGGCATCTGGGTCCCCCACGTGACTGTTTTCTTCGGGTTGGAAAAAAAGCCTGGCGTCCAGGTGCCCGCCACCAGCCCGATTCGCGTGTGCCAGTACATTTTTCTTGGCCTTTTTGGGACTTTGATATAACATGAAGACTATTATGTTGGTATTATTTCTCCTATATCATATTTCAACACCAGTGGATAGTGTCCAGGGTATAATTCATTCAATTGGCAGATTTCTTAGCCATTTTAGAGCAGGTTCTCTAGAAGCTTTTTCCTTATGTCCATAGTTAAGAAATTTGTCTTATCTACTTAAATATGATATAATTACAGTAAGCTTTTTACTAAGCTAAAACAAATCTTACCTGTACCTGAAAAGCTGGTTGAGGAGGTTTGTAAGTGCTAATGTTAGTTTTTCTGTACATCAGCTCAGACCTTTTCCCAAAGGAAGACCAAAGCTGATTGAACTGTGACCACTACTTAGCTGCCAGGTATTAACCACTATGGTTTTTCAGAAGCCTAGATAGGTTCAAACCATTGACTTTTAGTTTTGTAAGCTAAATATTCTAAACCTTTTCCTAGTTAGGAAGATAAAATCTGGCTGAGCTTAAACCTTTTCAGAGAGACCCCCCACCAGGCCTCTTGTAGCTAAAGAAATACATATTTTGGCTCATTCTTTCTTTCACCAGGAAATACACTGAATATTGAGTTCAGGAATTTCAGTTATCCCTTCTGAAGAGTTTGTTCCTCACTCAAATATCTGGGACTTCTTTTCTGGTAACCTACAACTTGGTCTGTACTTACTGGTTGTACAAAATCCATGTGTAAACAAAAGGAAAGATCTGAGTAACTCTGGAAAAAGGCTGTTGAAGATGAGAGCATCTTTTCTGACTTCTCTAAGAGGGATTGGAATGTATAGGATGGTGAATCTGAGGTTGAGGAGAGCAGGCGGTGTGTGTGTGTGTGTGTGTGTATTTGTATTTGTAAATATCACATCGCTGTTTACTGTACACTGTATTCTCTTCATGCAAGACCTAGTCAGGCAAAATCAGGAGAAATTGTTCCCTTGTTTAAAGCCAAGAATAACATTCTAACCAGCAGAGGACAGAGGTCAGTTTAAGGCAAAGCTCTTGGGATCTACAGGACATTAAGAACCTTGAAAGATCTGAGTTTAATAGAAGGAAGCCAATATGTACGTTGAAGTAAGTGTTTGAAACATGTATGTCTCTATTGGAGCATGGCTTATTTATGAAAAAATTAATAATTGTCATAACAGTTGGATATGTGATGAGTTCATATCACCTCCTGGTCATTTAACTATATATTTATTTATCTCCTGCCTGCATATTGACTTGTCTATTGTTTTTGTTAGAAAAAGAGGAAAATAATATTCTACCAATATTCTGGTGTTTTATTCTTCAAAGCAGCTCCCGAAATACTCGGGAGAGGGCTAGAGTTGAAAGAGGATATGTTAATTAAAAAACACACACCCTTTACAAAATCTCCTGGGGAAATTCCGAGCTGGCTGAAGATTTGTTTCTGGGATATTTCTGTGCCTACTTCTCTTCTTTTTCCATTCAGTGTTTCCTCATTCTGATGCTGGCCACTCACCCCACCATGGCTACTCAAACTATTTTCTGGGTGAACATTCTAAGTTTGTCCTATTTTCTTCTCTGGGACTCATTTCTCTGGTCTAGCTTGAACTGCTTCTAGGCCTAAGTGAACATCTGAAAGCATTCCTTCATGGCATTTATTTCTTGGCTCACTTTATGCACTTTGCCTGATTTGTTTTGCTTCTCTCCTTTTTCAGTTATGTTGCCTTGCTTGGAAGATTCTAAAGCTCAGATGCAGCCTCTGTCCTCTTAAATTTCACTCTGGTTTTATAAAGTGCCTTTTTTCTTCCCTATAAATTGGGGGATGAGTAAATCAGGTGCTCTGTAGTGAGGGATTATTAACTCTCCTGAGACTCTAGTTTGCTACTTGTTTCAACACATATTTAGCAATTTGGATTGTATTTGCATGCTAGAACTAATTGCCAAGACTCTCAAAATAGGTGGTTGTTGTTACCTTTTCTCCCCTTGTTTTTTGAATAGAAAATTTAGAGGTAAAAAGAACTACCTTGTCCAAGATCACATAGTACATTGGTCTTAAAACTTTTGAAGCACACCTCATGTTTTTATTCCTTATACTTCTTAGCACAACTATTAGCAATAGTTAATAAATAACATAATCTTTTATTGTTTTTGTACAGAGAGGAAGGGAGAGAGATAGAGAGCTAGAAACATCGATGAGAAAGAGTCATCGATCAGCTGCCTCTTGCACACCCCCCACTGGGGATATGCCCGCAACCAAGGTACATGCCCTTGACCGGATAAATAACATAATCTTATATAAAAAGGTAATATGCAAATTGACCATCACACCCTCGCACAAGATGGCCACCCCATGTGGTTACAAGATAATTGCCTCAAGATGGCTGGCAGGGGAGGGTAGTTGGGGGAGACCAGGCCTGCAGGGGAAGGCAGGTTGGGGGGACCAGGCCTGCAGGGGAGGGCAGTTTAGGGGCAACTGGGCCAGCAGGGGAGGGTAATCAGAGGCGACCCGGCTGGCAGGAGAGGACAGTTGGGGGCAACCAGGCCAGCAGGAGAGGGCAGTTAGGGGTAATCAGGCTGGCAGAGGAGGACATTTTGGGGCAAATGGGCGCCAGCAGTCCACGATTGTGAGAAGGATTGGGCCTAAACCAGCATTCAGACATCCCCTGAGGGGTCCCAGATTGGAGAGGGTGCAGGCTGGGCTGAGGGATCTCCCCCTCCAGTGCATGAATTTTGTGCACCAGGCTTCTAGTCATATATAACAAAAACCTAAGTGTCCAACTGTTCTTTTGACCATTGGACCAGTCGCTATGGTGGTTTAGCTTGCTCCTGTGGTCCAGCTGATCAGGACTGGGCGAGACAATCAGGACTGGGTGAGATGGGCCAGACACGCCCTGGAGCCTTCCAGTGGTCCCTCCCCAGCTCCTATGTGCGATGTCCTGTTGTGCCCTGGTGGGGTCCCTCTGCCTGGCCTGCACCCTCTTGCAATCCGTGACCCCTTGCAGGATGTCTGCAGGCCAGGCCGAGGGACCCTCACCAGGCCTTGAGGAGCTAAATAAATACATCTTAACTGTGGGTTGATTGTTGATCAACTAAATTTTAGAATTCTCATCAAGTTGATCACCTTTTAGACAAATATGTGAGAAAAGTGTTTGGATGAAAGGGTCTGAATAACTTATGCAGAAAAGGTTTAGGAATTTAGAATATTTGTGAAAAAAATCCCCATGTAAATACTATTCTGAATGAAGAAACAGAAAGATAGCATCGCTAGAGTGGAAATTGGTTAAAAATGTAAAGAGAAATAGGGTGAAAGAGACTAAAAAATATGGTATAATGAAGAGATTGGAACAAACAGGCATCTTGACAGCTTGTTATCATACAGTGAAAATGAAAAATTTTCATCCTCCTCTACCACTGTCCCTCTCCCAAACCACTATCCAGAGCAGTATTAATGACTCTTTGGGCACTAGTGTCTGGTTTTGGGCTGCCATGTGAAGCATGAAGAGGTCTGTGGGATCAGTCAGCTGCAAAGAACAGTTGTCCTTTTGATTTGTCAAATTCTTCTTAAGTTTTATTGCTCTTAAATAGTACTGCCAGTTCCAATGTATTGTACTGCACATTGTGCAGTAACCCTTTAGAGGGCCCATCTAACTTTTAAAAAATATATATTTGTACTGCCGAAACCAGTTTGGCTCAGTGGATAGAGCATCGGCCTGCAGAATGAAGGGCTCCAGGTTCGATTCCGGTCAAGGGCATGTACCTTGGCTACGGGCACATTCCCAGTAGGGGGTGTGCAGGAGGCAGTTGATCAATGTTTCTCTCTCATTGATGTTTCTAACTCTCTATCTCTCCCTTTCTCTCTGTAAAAAATCAATAAAATATAAAAACAAACAAACAAAGAACCCCCCAAAAACATATTTGTATTTATTTCAGAGAGAAAGGGAACGGGAAAGAGAGATGGAAACATCAATGATGAGTCAGAATCATTGGCTGCCTCCTGAACTACTGGGAATTAAACCAGCAATCCAGACATGTGCCCTTGACTGGAATAAAAAATGGGACCCTTCAATTCACAGACCAACACTCTATCCATTTAGCCAAACCAGCATGGGCCCATCGAATTTTTTAGCTTAAAAAAAACAACAAAAAACAAACTGCTGTTTTTTTGTTTTGTTTTGGGGACAGTTGTTTGCATCTCATTTGGGATCCTTGTCTCCTCATCTGGCCTCATTCAATTGTACCAATCAATTTTTACTATTTCTGTTTTCAAACTTTTGTCTTCACAGGCTTCCTGTAGTAATCTTTGGTTTCAGACCTGCTTGGGGGAAAGATTGATTGTTGTTATTTTTTCTTGTTTGTTTTTGTTTCAGTAAATAAGTTCTCTACTTATTATTCTTTATCTTTTTTGTTACACAGGCCACCAAGCAGTTTCTTGAAGAGATTAACAAGTGGACAGTTCAGTACAACGTTTCTCCTCTCTCTTGGAATGTGGCTGTAAAGTTCCTCATGGCTCGGAAGTTTGATGTGCTCCGCGCCATAGAGTTGTTCCACTCCTACAGGGTATGTAGCTCAGGATGGACCAGACCTGCTGCAGCTTGGCTCTCTTGCGTTGCTATTTTCTCTGCCACGCTTTTCAGACAGTGGTTCTGAGTGTTTTCCCCACTCTCATAAAGTAAATAAATAAATAAATAAACATACAAATAAAAAGTGCGTCCGTATTCAAGAGCTCTATGGGGTCGGAGAATCCTTCTAAAGAGATATCTTTCTAAATTTTTTTTTTAAAGGAGGGGGAAGCACTAGGATTGGTTTAATTCTAAAGCTCAAGTAGGCCTATTTTATGGACATCTCCTTCAATATTCATTAATTTATTCAACAGAAATTTACTGTATACCTGATATATTCCAGACAGTAAACAAACAATTATAGAAGTGTTAGGATAGGGCAGTACTAGGTTCTGTGGAAGCCTTCCTGAAGGAAAAAAGACTTCTAAATTATGATCGAAAGAATGAATAGGCCCTAGCTGGTTTGGCTCAGTGGATAGAGCTTCGGCCTGTGGACTGAAAGGTCCTAGGTTCAATTCTGGTCAACGGCACATGCCTGGGTTGCAGGCTTGATTCCCAGTATGGACTGGGCAGAAGGCAGCCAATGAATGATTCTCTCTCAACATTGATGTTTCTCTCTCTCCCTCCCTCCCTCCTTCCCTCCCTCCCTCCCTCTTCCTCTCTGAAATAATAAAAATATATTTAAAAATAAAAAAAAGAATTAATAGGGCCCTGGCTGGTTTTCTCAGTGGTTGGAGTGTTGACCCACAGACCAAAGGGCCACTGGTTTGATTCCTAGCTTAGGGCACTTACCTCAATTGCTCATTCGGTCCCTGGTCCAAGTTAGGGCACAAGAAGGAGGTAACCAATCGATGTGTATCTCTCCCATCAATGTTTTTCTCTCTCTCTTCCTCCTATACCTCCCTTCCAATTTCTAAAAAAGTAAGTCAATGGAAAAAATATCAAGTGAGGATTAAAAAAAAAATTAAGAAGAAGAATGAATAGGAATCAGGGAAATAAAGCTTATAAAAGTGTGGCATATTGGTTGCAGGCATATCCCCAGTAGGGGGTGTGCAAGAGGCAGCTGGTCGATGACTCTCTCTCATCGATGTTTCTAACTCTCTATCTCTCTCCCTTCCTCTCTGTACAAAATCAATAAAAAAAATAAATAAATAAAAAAAAAGTGTGGCATAGAGAACAGCAAGTTTCAGATACCCAGAGAGAAATTGAGCTGAGCAAAAACACTAAGTGGGAGTTGGGATATCACAAGAGTTTGAGCAACAAAGGTAAACAAGGCCAGATAAGGGAGTGTCTATCTGCTTTTTTTTTAAGGGTAGAGAAATTCATTGAAGGTATAAACAGCAGAATGACTTGATCAGATTTGTATTCTGGAAAGACTTTTCTCACTGTACTCTAGAGAATGGATCATAATGGTTATAATGAAGACAGACCAAATTAAAAGGCTCTTATACTTACAGGAAAAGAGAGTATTGTGGTATCTTTAGGTGTAGTATCAAGCGGGCAGATTCTAGAAATAAGATTGGTAGGACAGTGTTGCTTAAACTGGTGTGTGAGGCAGGAGGAGACTAGGGTTCTAGGTATCTGCCCTGGATGACAGGGTACATGGTGGGGGCATTCACTAAAATAGGAGACACTGAAGGGTACAGGTATATGGACAGAGAAGGTCATGAGTTTAGTTTGGCCATGTTAGTTTGTAGTGCCATTGGGATATCTAAACAGACTTGTCCTCAAAGCAGTTGGAATATGTATTTAGAGTTCAGAAAAGAAATCTAGATATAAGTAGAGCTTTTGAAGTGGACCAAAGTGGAGCTGAATATTGGAGCCATGAGAATGGGTGAGGTCATTCTGAAGAGTGTGAGGAATAGGAAGACATGTAGGGCAGAATCTCATCTCAGACTTTTTGCTTTTCTGGTTGAAAAGTTGTTTTTATAGGTTGAATTTGAATGCTTTATTTAAGCTCCACATAAGCAAATCCTGTTCCACAGGGGTTATTTTCTGCATAGCAGCTCAGCTGTTCCTCACAGCCAATAGTCCTAGGGGTCAGTTCCTTTCAGTGACACTAATAATCAAGGCTCAACTGCAACAGGACAGTGGACACAGACCACACAGGGGCGCACTTAAGAGTGCCCAGCTCAGGTGCCTGAGGAGGTTGAGCCACTGGGCCCTACAGTACACCTATTATACAAGGCCACTCTACCAATTCCAGGAGACATAGCAGCTCTACCTAATACATAAAAAAAACAAAACACAGGGTAGCAGCCAAAATGAGGAGACAAAGAAACATATCACAAATAAAAGAAATAGAACCATGGTTATAAGGTTACTCAAGGATCTTCATGAGGTTTTCAAGAATCTTAGTAAGAATTTTAAAGACATAAAAAAGGACCAGTCGGAAATTAAGGATAAACTAACTCAAATAAAGAATCATTTATAGCCTGTGGACATGGCTCAGGTTTGATTCCTGGTCAGGGCACATGCTTGAGGTTGTGGGTTCGATCCCCATTAGGGGCATGCAGGAGGCAGCCCATCAATGATTCTCATCATTTATGGTTCTATCCCTTCTCTGAAATCAATAAAAATATATTAAAAAATAATAATTTACAGGGATTCAACAGTAGAGGATTCTGAGAATCAAGTCAATGATTTGGAATAAGGAAGCAAGAAACAACTAATTGGAAGAGCAAAAAGAAAAAGAATCCAAAAATATAAAGTTAGTGTAAGGAGCCTCTGGGACAACTTCAAGCATACCAACATTCGCAATATGTAGGTGCCAGAAGGAGAAGAGAGAGCAAGATATTGAAAATCTATTTGAAGAAATAATGGTACAAAACTTACCCTACCTGGTGAAAGAAGTAGACTTACAAACACAGGAAGCACAGAATCCCAAACAAGAACCTTGCCCTACCTGGTTTGGCTCGGGTTAGAGCACTGGCTTGTGAACTGAAGAGGTTCAATTTTGGTCAAGGACACACATACGAGGGTTGTGGGCTCAATCGCTAGTAGAGGGTGGACAGGAGGCAACCGGCAATGTTTCTATCTCTCCCTCTCCCTTCCTCTCTCTGAAATCAATAAAAATATATATACAAAAACAAACAAAAAAAACCACACAAAAAGACAAAACAAAAGAAGAACCCAAAGAGGCCCACACCAAGACACATAAAAATTAAAATGCCAAGGGTTAAAGACAAAGAGACTATCATTTTTTTTTTAAGTACTGTGCATTTAAATATATATTTTTTCAAATTAGTTTTTCAGAATTTTTTTTTAATATATTTTATTGATTTTTTTACAGAGAGGAGGAGAGAGGGATAGAGAGCTAGAAACGTTGATGAGAGAGAAACATCGACCAGCTGCCTCTTGCACACCCCCTACTGGGGATGTGCCCGCAACCAAGGTACATCTCTTGACCGTAATCGAACCTGGGACCTTTCAGTCTGCAGACCAACGCTCTACCGCTGAGCCAAACCGGTTTTGGCTAAATATTTTTGTTTTTTAAAAAATATATTTTATTGATTTTTCAACGAGTGGAAGGGAAAGGAATAGAGAGCTAGAAACATCGATGAGAGATAAACATCGATCAGCTGCCTCTTGCACACCCTGCACTGGGGATGTGCCTGCAACCAAGGTACATCCCTTGACCGTAATCGAACCTGGGACCTTTCAGTCCGCAGGGTGACGCTCTATCCACTGAGCCAAACTGGTTTTGGCTAAATGTTTTGTTGTTGTTGTTGTATTTTTATTGATTTCAGAGAAGAAAGGAGAGGGAGAAAGAGAAACATCAATGATGAGAGAGAATCATTGATTGGCTGCTTCCTGCAAGCCCCCTACTGTGGATTGAGCCTACAACTTGTGCATGTGCCCTTGACTGGAATTGAACCTGGGACCCTTCAGTCACCAGATCGATGCTCTAGCCACTGAGCCAAATCATCTAGGGTCAAAGAGAGAATCTTAAAAGCAGCAAGAGAAAAGCTGTCTATTGCCTACAAGAGAGCACCCATAAAACTGTCAGCTGATTTCTCAACAGAAACTATACTGGCCAGAAGGGGGTGGCAAGAAATATTCAGTGATAAATAGTAAGATTCTACTACCAAGATTACTCTACCCAGCAAAGCTATCATTCAGAAATGAAGGGTCAGATAAAGAGCTCAAGCCTAGTGGTCAACTCCTCATATCCATAAGTGACACATTTGGGAGGGGGACTCAGTGAGCACCAAAGCCCCACTGAAACAAGGCCTGCACCATAAGCGTGTCTCCAGCGCAGCAGTTCTTCCATTATAGACACAGCAGGTCCTGACAGCCAATTGGCCTGGAGGTCAATTCCTCCCAGTGTACCAACACTAATCAAGGCTTAACCACACCAACACTTCGTACTCAGCCCACAAAGGGTTGTACCAAGAGTAACCACCTTGGGTGATTGGGGAAGCTGAGCTACAGGCCCCTATAAGTCACCTACCACACAAAGCCACTCAGTCAACACAGGGAGGCAGCCAAAATGCAGAGACACAGAAGCATGTCACAAAAGGGAGAGATGGAGGAAGTAAACTACTGGATGACACAGAGTTCTGAATCACATAAGGTTATTCAAGAATCTTCTAAAAACCGCTGAGAAACTTGATGAGACCTTCAAGGACCTTAATGAGAATACCAAAAAAATGGAAAAGGACCAGTCAGAAATTAAGCATACACTGTCTGAAACAAAGAATATACAGAAACTCAACTGTATATCAATGTACCCTAAGAGTCAAACCAAAAATCTGGAATATAAGGAAGAAAAAATCACCCAACCAGAGAGGCAGAAAGAAAGAAGAATCCAAAAGCGTGAGGATAGTGTAAGGAGCCTCTGGGACGGTTTTAAGCATACCAACATCCGGATTTTGGGGGTGCCAGAAGAAGAGAGAGAGCAGGATATCGAAGGCCTATTGAAAGAAATAATGATAGAAAACTTTCCCTACCTGGTGAAAGAAATAGACCTATAAGTTCAGGAAGCGTACAGAAGTGGAATCCAAAGAGGAACACACCAAGACACATCATAATTAAAAAGCCAAGGGCAAAAGACAAAGAGAGAATCTTACAAGCAGCAAGAGAAAAACAGCTAGTTACCTACAAGGGAGTACCCATACGACTGTCAGCTGATTTCTCAACAGAAACTATGCAGGCCAAAAGGGAGTGGCAAGAAATATTCAAAGTGATGAATAGCAAGAACCTACAACCAAAATTACTCTACCCAGCAAAGCTATCATTCAAAATTGAAGGGCAGATAAAGAGCTTCACAGACAAGAAAAAGTTCATCAACACCAAACTAGAATTACATGAAATGCTGAAGGGTATTCTTTAAGAAGAGGAAGAAGAAGAAAAGGTAAAGGTAAAAACTATGAACAACAAAAAGACATTAGCCGAAGCCGGTTTGGCTCTGTAGAGCGTTGAGCGTCAGTCTGCGGACTGAAAGGTCCCAGGTTTGATTCTGGTCAGGGGCATGTACATTGGTTGCGGGCACATCCCCAGTGGGGGGTGTGCAGGAGGCGGCTGGTCGATGTTTCTCTCTCATCGATGTTTCTGGCTATCTCTCTCCCTTCCTTTCTATAAAAAATCAATAAAATATATTTAAAAAAAAAGACATCAAATACATACCTACCAACAAGTGAATCTAAACAAGAGAATAAAAAAATCTGAAGAACAGAATAGACTGGTGAATATAATGGAATCAGGGACATAGAAAGGGAGTGGACTAACAGTTCTCGGGGAAGGGGGTCTGAGGGGTGTGGGAAAAGATTGGACAAAAATCTTGCACCTATGGATGAAGGCAGTGGCAGGTGGTAAGGGCATGGGGTGGGTTGGGGAATCAGGTGGAGGGGAGCTAAGGGGGTGCGGGGAGAGGAACACCTGAAATAATCTGAACAATAAAGATTTATTATATGTTCAAAGAAAGAAATCTAATGAACAAAATAAACTGATGAATAAAATGGAACCAGAGGCATGAAAGCATGGAAATGACTGATGAATCTCAGAGGGAAGGGGGTGGTGGGGACGGGAAGAGATTAACCAAAAATCTTATGTGCGGACACACAGAGTCGGGTGGAGTGGGAACTGTGGAGGGGATAATGGGGGGGAGGGGGTTATGTGTAATTCTCTTAACAATAAAGATTAAAAAAACACAACACCACTAAAAATAAAAAACAACATTGATGAAACTTTGCAAGCAATCAAAGCTTTGTGTATTTGAAAAGCCACCAAGTATCTGAACGACATCACTTTACAGAAGCAATATGTGCCATTTTGCTGTTACTGTGGTGCAGTTGGTAGGTGTGCCCAGGCCAAACTCTATTTAGGCCACTCACCCTGCTGGACACAGGATGAGTGGCCTAAATAGAGTGCTAGATTTCTGCTTAAAAATGCAGACTGATGCTTCAGGGTTTAGCTGTAGATTCTCTGGTCATTGAGCACATCCAGGTGAAAGAAGCTCCCAGGATGCAGCACAGAACTTACGGAGTTCATGGCAGAAGAACCCATACACGAGCTCTCCCGGCCACATTGAGATGATCCTCACTGCAAAGGAGCAGACTGTTCCTAAACCAGAGCAGGAGGTTGCAAAGAAGAAACTGAAGGAAGAAAATATATGGCCCTGGAGTAAATTCATCATAAAGTAAATACTAAGAAAAGTTAAAACAGCCAAGACCGGTTTGGCTCAATGGATAGAGCTTCGGCTTGGGGACTGAAGGGTCCCGGGTTCGATTCTGGTCAAGGGCATGTACCTTGGTTGCGGGCATATCCCCAGTAGGGGGTGTGCAAGAGGCAGCTGATCGATGACTCTCTCTCATCGATGTTTCTAACTCTATCTCCTTTCTGTACAAAATCAATAAAATAAAAAAAATTTAAAAAAATAAAAGTTAAAGAAACAGACAAACAAAACAGGAAGAAACTGGTTGTGGGAAATGATGTCATGGTAGTTGTTGTTGATATCAAAGATCAAAGGGAGGGGTGACTTGTTTTTAAATTGATGAGAGAGAGAGAGACAGACAGACAGACAGACAGACATGTATTTGTTCCAGTTACTTATGCATTAATTGGTTGATTTTTCTGTGTGTTCTGACCAGGGATCTAACTTGCAGTCTTCGCATATCCGGATGATGCTCTAATGCTCTAACCCAGCGTTTTTCAACCGCTGTTCCGCGGCACACTAGTGTGCCGCGAGATGTTGCCTGGTGTGTCGTAGGTGCAGACAAGACAAGAATTTTATAATTTTTCACTATTTTGTTTACTTAATATTTCATAATAAAGTAATTATAAAATACTTTCTTTGTGTTTATTTGATTCCTATTCAAGAGAATTACTTTATATATAGTCAATATAGGCACAGAGTTAAATTTTTTTAACATTTTCTAATGGTGGTGTGCCTCGTGATTTTTTTCATGAAACAAGTGTGCCTTTGCCCAAAAAAGGTTGAAAAACACTGCTCTAACCAAATGAGCTCTCTGGCCAGGGTGAGGGGTGACTCTTATTTACAACAGGATAAGCCTGTGCCTGGAATGTATATGAGCATGTCTGCTCCCAGACCCTTTTGGATACATATTTTAATATCTTGGTACAATATCTGTGCTGCTACATATTTAAGAACTTTGACTCTGACAATAATAATACACACTGATTGGTCTCAATCAAGATTCCTAGTGATTCAAAGAAAACTATTCCATCCAAGAGACTGATAAGGTGTAATTTTATAGGAATTTTGATAAAACTCAAGTTGTCCTGGAAGAGGGTTGAAAAGGAATTTATGGTTTGGTTAGTTGACTTGTAAAGTCTTTTATCTCTGAAATTTGGTGATTACATAAAGCTGTCCTATATATACAGTATATATATATTTTTTTAATCTTTATTATTGCCGATGAGATGGTAGTGAGGCCAAAACCGGTTTGGCTCAGTGGATAGAGTGTCGATCTGTGTACTGAAAGGTCCCTGGTTCGATTCCGGTCAGAGGCATGTACGTTGGTTGCAGGCACATCCCTGGTAGGGGGTGTGCAAGAGGCAGCTGGTCGATGTTTCTCTCTCATCGATGTTTCTAGCTCTCTATCTCTCTCCCTTCCTCTCTGTAAAAAATCAATAAAATATATTTTAAAAAATCTTTATTATTAAAAGCATTACATATATCCCTTTATTTCTCCTATCAACCCCCTCCAGCCCACCCCAGTTCACCACAGCAGGCCCTCACCACCCCACTGTCTGTATCCATGCATATATGCATTCAAGGTCCATGGTTGATTACCTCCCACCCACCCACCCTCCCCCACTTCCCCTACACGATTTTGCCTTCTATTCCATGCTTCCATGTCTCTGGATCTATCCTGTTCATCAGTTTATTTTGTTACTGATTCCATATATGAGTGAGATCATGTGGTACTTGTTTTTTTGCTGATTTATTTCACTTAGCATGATACTCTTCAGGTCCCTCCATACTGTCTTAAAGGGTAAGAGATTCTTCTTTTTTACTGCTGCATAGTATTTTATGGTATAAAATACTTTTTTATCAGCTTTTTTATCCATTCATCTACTGATGGGCACTTGGGCTGTTTCCAGATCATAGTCATTGTAAATTGTGCTGCTAAGAACGAAGGGATGCATACATTCTTTCTGATGGGTGTTTCGGGTTTAGAATTGGGATCATGGTAAAATGGAAGTTCCATATTTAATTTTTAGAGGAAACTCCATACTGTTTTTCATATTGGCTGCACCAGTCTTCATTCCCACCAGCAGTGTACTAGGGTTCCTTTTTCTCCTCATCCTTGCCAGCTCTTGTCATTTGTTAATTTAAAAAATATATATATATATATTTCAGAGAGGAAGAGAGAGATAGAAACATCAATGATGAGAAAGAATCATAGATTGGCTGCCTCCTGCATGCCCCCTACCGGGCATATGCCCTTGATCAGAATCAAAACTGGAATCCTTCAGGCCACAGGCTATCCACTGATCCAAACCGGCTAGGGCTTTAAAAAAAAACACAAAAAAACACACACAAAAACAACAACATATATATATATATATATATATATATATATATATATATATATATATATATATTTATTGATTTCAGAGAGGAAGGAAGAGGGAATGAGAGTTAGAAACATCAATGATGAAAGAGAATCATCGATCACCTGCCTCCTGCACACCCACTACTGGGGATCGAATCCACAACCTGGGCATGTATCCTTGACCTGAACCGAACTTCTGGGACCCTTGTGTCCATAAGTCCACTGCTCTATCCACTTAGCCAAACCAGCTAGGGCTGTTCATTTGTTGATAGTAGATATTCTGAGAGGAGTGAAGTGATACCTCATTGTCGTTTTAATTTGCATCTTTTTGATGATCAGTAATTTTGAGTATTTTTTCTCTTGACCATCTGTATGTCCTCTTTGGAGAAGTGTCTATTTAGTTTCTTTGCCCATTTTTTAGTTGGATTGTTTGTCTTCTTTTTGTTAAGTTGTATGAATTCCTTAAATATCCAAAATATTTAAGGAATTCATATTAATGAATTTTATTTAATATTTTGGATATTAACCTTTTATCAGATGTATCATTGCCAAATATGTTCATCCATATAGTGGGTTCCCTTTTCATTTTGTTGCTGGTTTCTTTTGCTGTGCAGAAACTATTTTGATATAGTCCTATTTGTTCATTTCTCCTTAGTTTCTTTTGCCCTAGGACAGAGGTCGGCAAACTCATTAGTCAACAGGAGCCAAATATCAACAGTACAACGATTGAAATTTCTTTTGAGAGCCAAATTTTTTAAACTTAAACTTCTTCTAACACCACTTCTTCAAAATAGACTTTCCCAGGCCATGGCATTTCGTGGAAGAGCCACACTCAAGGGGCCAAAGAGCCGCATGTGGCTCTCGAGCCACAGTTTGCCAACCACGGCCTAGGAGATTATCTGTAAACATTTTGCTAGGAGAGATGTCAGATTTTGCTGCCTGTGGTGTCCTCTGGGATTTTTGTGGCTTCCTGATTTACATTGAAGTCTTTTATCCATTTTGAGTTTATTTTTCTGTATGGTGTAAGTTGGTGATCTAGTTTCATTTTTTTGTATGTATCTGTCCAATTTTCCCAGCACCATTTATTGACTGTCTTGAGTCCATTGTATGGTCTTGCCTCCTTTGTTAAATATTAATTGAGTATAATGGCTTGGATTAATTTCTAGGTTCCATTGATCTATATGCCTGTTCTTGTGCCAGTACTGGCTGCTTTGATTACAGTGGCATTGTAGTATAACTTGAAGTCTAGTATTGTGATTCCTCCAACTTTGTTTTCTTTTTTTTTAAATAAGGGGAAGATGAATTTATTTATTTTATTATTTTTTAAAAATATATAATTAGCCAAAACCGATTTGGCTTGGTGGATAGAGCATCGGTCTGCAGACTGAAAGGTCCCGGGTTCGATTCCGGTCAAGGGCATGTACATTGGTTGCGGGCACATCCCCAATGGGAGGGTGTGCAAGGGGCAGCTGGTTGATGTTTCTCTCTCATCAATGTTTCTACAATAGCTCTCTATCCCTCTCCCTTCTTCTTTGTAAAAAAAAAATCAATAAAATATATTTAAAAAATATATATATATATAATTTATTTATTTATTTATTTATTATTATTATTATTTTTTTTACAGAGAGGAAAGGAGAGGGATAGAGACTTAGAAACATCGATCAGCTGCCTCCTGCACACCCCCTACTGGGGATGTGCCTGTAACCAACGTATAGTTCGATTCCTTGGCTGGAATCGAACCTGGGGACCCTTCAGTTTGCAGGCTGATGTTTTTTGTTGTTGTTGTTTTTTTATTTTTATTTTTTTATTTAAATCAATCTTTATTGTTCATATTATTACAAAGGTTCCTCATTTCTTCCCCCCTCCACCAGGTTCCCACCCCACCCTCCGCCCCCTTTGCCTCCCCCATTGTCCTCATCTATAGGTGCACAGTTTATGTTCAGTCTCTTCCTCCCTCCCTTTCCCCGATAGTAAATCCCTTTTCAGATAGTAAATCAGTTACTTAGCATTTTCTCATATCAATAATACCTCCACATGCCCAAAGATACACTTCACACAAAAGAAATTTCCAAATAGGTCAACCAACCTCATCCAGGCCCCACACAAGGCACTCACAGATCAACACCCCAGCGTTATACTAACTCAACATATCCAGATCTAAGCCTTCATCACTTGATTCAGCAGAACCTCAAGTTCCCGCAAAAGTTTCCAGCCATGTCTGAGAGGAAGCCTTGGGGCGGGGGCAGGCGAGGAGCGAGCTGTTCCGGGCCTGGCTGCTCCGGGCCTGGCCTCTGTTGCTCTGGTCCGTTCCACAACCAGCTGCTCTGGGTCTGGCCACTGCCGCTCCCGACCTGGTTGCTCCAGGCTTGGCTGCTGCTGCTCCGGGCCTGGCCACACCCAACCTGGCTGCTCTGGGCCCGGCTGCTCCGGGCCTGGCTGCTCCCAGCCTGGCAGCTGCTGCTCCAGGCCTGGCCGCACCCGACCCAGCAGCTCCGGGCCTGGTGTAGGCCGTCGTTTTATCCACTGAGCCAAACCAGTTAGGGCCTTTTATTCTATATTATTTAAATTTTTTATTTTTATTATTATCTCTGTACATATACCATTGCCCCCCCTTCCAGGTATGTCCTCTCTCCCCAGAGTTTTGTGTCCATTGGTTATTTTTCCTAATCTGATTTCTGTGGCTAGAACTTCCAGTACTATGTGTAATCAGAATGGTGAAAATGGACAACCCTGTCTTGTTCCTGTTTTTAGGGGAAATAGTTTTAGTTTTTTCCCTTTGAGAATGATGTTGGCTGTAGGTTTGTCATATATGGCCTTTATCATGTTGAGATACTCTTTGTATTCCCACTTTGCTGAGAGTTTTTATAAAAAATGGGTGTTAGATTTTATCTAATGCTTTTTCTGTGTCTGTTGATATGATTATGTGATTTTTTGTCTTTTGGTTTGTTTATGTGATATATCACATTTATTGATTTATGAATATTGTACCAGCCTTGCATCCCTGGAATAAATCCCACTTGGTCATGGTCTGTGATCTTTTTCATATATTGCTGGATCCGATTTGCTAATATTTTGATAAGAATATTATCAGGGATATTGGCCTATAATTCTCTTTCTTTATTAGTGTCATTATCTGGGTTTGGAATTAGGGTAATGCTGGCCTCAAAAAGAGCTTGGAAGTCTTCCTGCCACTTGGATTTTTTGAAATAGTTTGAGGAGTATAGGTGTTAGTTCTTTGAATGTTTGGTAAAACTCCCCTGTGAAGCCATCCAGATTTAGGTGTTTGTTTGCTGGGAATTTTTTTTAAAAAATATATTTTTATTGATTTTGTAAAGAGAGGAAGGGAGAGAGATAGAGAGTTAGAAACATCGATGAGAGAGAGAGTCATTGATCAGCTGCCTCTAGCACACCCCCTACTGGGGATATGCCCGCAACCAAGGTACATGCCCTTGACCGGAATCGAACCTGGGACCCTTCAGTCCCCAAGCCAACGCTCTATCCATTGAGCCAAACCGGACTTGGCAAATTTTTTTGATTACTGCTTCTATTTTATCAGTTGTTATTGGTCTATTCAGGTTTTCTGATTATTCCTGACTCAGTTTTAGGAGATTGTAGTTTATTTGTCTATTTCCAGGAATTTGTCTATTTCATCCACATTGTCCAGCTTTTTGGCATATAGTTGTCCATAGTATTTGCTTAAAATCCTTTGTATTTTTGTGGTCTCAGTGGTTACTGCTCCATTTTCTTTCTGATTTTATTTATTGAGGTCCTCGTTTTTTGTTTCTTGATAGTATGGCTCAGGTCATCAATTTTGTTTATCCATTCAAAGAACCAGCTCTTGGTTTCATTGATTTTTAGTTTTTGTTATCTATTTCTATTCTAATCTTTATTATTTCCTTCCTTCTTCTTACTCTGGGCTTTTCTTGTTCTCTTTCTAGTTCTTTTAATTTTAGGGTTAAATAGTTTATTTATGTTTATCCTGTGTTTGTTTTTAAAATATATATATTTTATTGATTTTTTACAGAGAGGAAGAGGGAGGGATAGAGAGTTAGAAACATCGATGAGAGAGAAACATCGATCAGCTTCCTCTTGGACACCTCCTACTGCGGATGTACCCACAATCAAGGTACATGCCCTTGGCCAGAATTGAACCTGGGACCTTTCAGTCTGCAGGCCGACGCTCTATCCACTGAGCCAAACTGGTTTCGTCTGTCTGTTTTTTTGAAATTGGCCTGTAGTGCTACGAACTTCTCTCTTAGGATTGCTTTTGCTGTGTCCCAGGTGTTTTGTGTTGTGTGCTCATTTTTATTTGTTTTCAGGAGTGTTTTGATTTCCTTATTGATATCATTTAATAATATGCTATTTAGCCTCCATGTGTTTGAATGTTTTGACTGTAATTGATTTCTAATTTCATTCCACTGTGATCAGAGAAGATGCTTGATGTGATTTCAATCTTCTTGAACTTTTAGAGACTTATTTTGTGTTCTGACATGTGGTCTGTTTTTTTGAATGATCCTTGTGCACTTGAAAAGAATGTATATTCTGCAGCTTTGGGGTGAAATGTTCTATAAATGTCAATTTATTCCATTTGAGCCAGTGTTTCCTTTAGAAATTATTTGTGTGGAAGATCTATCCAATGAAGTCAGCAGGATGTTAAAGTCCCCTACTATAAGTTGGTCCGAAGATTGTGGGTTATTGTTAAGCTGATTAAAGTCCCCTACTATAACTGTAATATTGTTGAAGTCTCCCTTAAAGTTCTCTAGAAGTTCTTAAAAAAAAAAAAAAAAAAAAAAAAAAAATATATATATATATATATATATATATATATATATATATATATATATATATATATCACTGCTTTTTCACAGAGTAGAAGGGAGAGGGATAGAGAGCTAGAAACATCGACCAGGTGCTTCCTGCACACTGGGTTTCAGCATGGTCTGGGAAGTTCTTTATCTCACCATCCACTTTGAATGATAGTCTTGCTGGATATAGTAATCTTGGTTTCAGATCCTTGCTTTTCATTACCTTTAGTCTTCATGCCATTCCCTTCTGGCCTGTAGTTTCTGATGAGAAATCAGGTGTTAGCCTTATGAGAGCTCCTTTATAGGTAACAATTTGCTTTTTTCTTGCTGCCTTTAAGTTTTTTCTTTGCCTTTAACTTTTTGCATTTTAATTAGGATGTGTCTGGTCATGGAACTGTTTCAGTTCTTCCTTGAGACTATGCCTCCTGAATTTGTGTGACTTTTTCCTTCTGCCATTATTTCTTCAAACATGTTGTCTATTTCTTTCTCCCTTTCTGTCTCTTTTGGCATAGCTATTTAAATATTGTTACATTTCATGTTGCCTCACAGACCCGTGAAGCTGTCCTCCTTTTTTTTTTTTGGTTCTCTGATTGGGTGATTTTTTTCAATCCTGTTTTCTAATTCAGTGATTCGATCCTCTGCTTCCCCTAATCTGCTGTGTATTCCTTCTAATATGTCTTTTATTTTTGCCATTTCACTTTTTGTTTCTGTTGCTATAGTTACTACATCTTTCCTCATGCTATTGTGCATCTTTACCATCATTATTCTGAACTCTATATCAGATAATTTTCTTATCTCCATTTCATTTATATATTTGTCTGGACAATTTTCTTGTTCTTACATTTGGGGGTTGTTTCTTTGTATCTTCATTTTGGCTGCCTGTTTGGGTTTGTGACTATTTATTAGTTCTGCTACACTAACTTCTAGTGCAGGATAGTGTCAAATGCTGTTTCTGATTAATTCAATCATGCAAAGATTCAAATCTTCCAGAGACCTCCACTTCCTACAGGCTGTTAAGATTCTGTCTTGAATAGTCTAAGTAATCATGCACAGGTGTGGTGAGAGTTTTTTCAACAGGGTGGGGCAATTGCTTCTGCCTGGAGGCTGTCATATTCTGTCGCCTATCAGGCCTCTAAATTTCACACCTTGGCGCAAGGTGTTTTCCAATATGTTGGATCAGCTTTCGTCCCCCCAGGCAAAGCTGCCTTTATAGTAGATATCTGTGTGAGAAAGACGATTCAGCCCAGGAAACCAGTGTGCCTGCCTTCTGAGCTTTAACTCCAGAGCCCTTAATCCTGCCTTCCGCCCATACAGCTCCCGTGCACTCTTCCCTCCCTCTTCCAGAATACAAGGTGAATGGCTACACACTAAATTTTGTGCTTTGACCCTTTAAGAGGTTGCCTGCATTTCTAGCCATCTCTTCCTGGCAGACAAAAACCCTTGTCTTCCATTGATTTATTCTGGAAGGTTTTTTGGGTTTTTTTTGTATTGTATTGTAGTTGTAATTCCAGTTTGTTCCTAGGAGTGTGTCCATGCAGCACTAACTTACTCTGCCACCATTTTTAATCTCTTAAAAATTAAAAAAATTATATATATTTTTAGCAAGAGTGGAAGGGAGCTGGAGAGAGAAACATTAATGTGAGATGAGAGTGAAACACTGATAGACTGCCTCCTGCATGATCTTTACTGGGGAACCTTTTGGTGCATGGGACAACTCAAAACCCAACTGAGCTACACTGACTAGGGTGCATAGTATTTTGATATTAATTTATCTTGTGTGCTTTATTTTTAGGAAACAAGAAGGAAGGAAGGCATTGTGAATCTGAAACCTCATGAAGAACCTCTCCGTTCTGAGATTCTTAGTGGAAAATTCACCATCTTAGTGAGTCTTCTTGGACCCCTCTTGTAATGTCTCATTATTTCTTTTTGTAGCTGTTGTCCTCTTTGGACTTTGTTGCTGCATACCTTATCCCGAATCTAGAGAGTTTCTATAGTCAGAAGTAGATGTAAAGCAGTTGTGCAGTGTGGCATAAAATTATCCGAGTAATAATTGAAATGATTGAGAATCAATTGTACTGTAGATTTAGAAAAGTTGTTTTCATTGGTCCATAATAGTCAAGGCCTTTGGAATGTGTATATAATGTGTCAGAGACCAGTTCTATGCTATTGAAAGCAAGCTCTCATTGGAAATTATAGGTCCCTGCTGTGTGCTCCAGTAGCAGGACCAGGCCTCCTGACTAGCCGGAGAGAGAGAGAACTACATAACCAGACATCTGGAGAAGAGAGACTTGGGCAGACAAAGGAACAGCCCACATATGAAAGGAAATCAGACATCACCAGAAAAGGAAGTAAACAAAATGGAGCCAAGCAACCTGTCAGAGAAAGAATTCAGAGAAATGGTCATAAGTTGGATGAAAAAAAAATGGAAGACAAATTCGACAATATGAGTGAGAACCAAGAAGAAATGAAAAATGACATCGCTGCTGTAAAGAAAATAGAAAGCTTCAGGAGTAAACTAGAAGAAACTGAGGACTGCATCAGTGTATGAGTAGAAGACAAGGTGGGGAAAAATACCCTAGTAGAGCAGCTTCTAGAAAAAAAATTAAAAAGCAGAAGATCCTCAGGGAACTTTGGGAAAACATAAAACAACATCCGCATAATAGGGGTTACAGAAGGAGAGGAAACTGAGCAAGGAATAGAAAACCTGTTTGAAAAAATAATGACAGAAAACTTTCCTGATATAGGGAAACAACAACAATAACAACACAAATCCAAGAAGCTCACAGAATCTCAAGCAAAATGAACCCCAACGGATTGGATAAAAAAACAAGACCCATATATCTGCTATCTACAAGAAATCCACCTCAGAAAAAAAGATACACACAGACTGAGGGTGAAGGGATGGAAAATGGTTTTTCAGGCCAACAGAAATGAAAAAAAAGCTGGGGTAGCAATAATAATACTTATATCTGACAAATTACCGTATTTTTTGGATCATAAGCAATAATACTTATATCTGACAAATTACCGTATTTTTCGGACCATAAGACGCTCCGGACCATAAGACGCACCAGTTTTTAGAGAAGGGAAATGAAGAAAAAAAGATTCTGAAACAAATAGTGTCCTAAAATATTTTATGTGCATTAAAACCCAACATCACAGTCATAAACACATGTAATCAACCCTGTAAAGTAAACAGCAGCATTTAGAACCATTTTAGAGCCGGGCAAGCACACAGAGACCACACAGAGTGGGGCAAGTAAAAAAACTTTTTTTTTAAAGTATATGTGTAGGCTATATTTGGACCATAAGACGCAGGGACTTTTTCCCCCCACTTCTGGGGTGGAAAAAGTGCGTCTTATGGTCCGAAAAATACGGTAGATTTCAAAGTGAAGGACATAACCAGAAATAAGGAAGGCCACTTCATAATACTAAAGGAAGCAATCCAACAAGAAGAAATAATTCTGGTAAACATATACACACCCAATACAGGAACACCCAAATACATTAAAAAAAAACCTGGAGGATATCAAGGGAGACACTGTCGGCAATGCAATCATAGTAGGAGACTTTAATATCCCACTATCATCATTGGACAAATCTTCTAAACAAAAAATCAGCAAAGAAACATTAATCCTAAATGACTCACTAGACCAGATGGAATTAAGTGACATCTTTAGAACATTTCACCCCAAAGCCACAGGATGTACATTCCTCTCAAGTGCACATGGGTCATTTCAAAGATAGACCATATGTTGAGTCATAGGCAAAGTCTCTTCAAATTCAAGAAGACAGAAATCATATCAAGCATCTTCTCGGATCACAGTGGCATAAAACTGGAAATCAACTACAATAAAAACAATCCAAAGAAATCAAACACATGGAGACTAAACAGCATGCTATTAAACAATGCCTGGGTTACCAAAGAGATCAAGGAAGAAATAAAAATCATTATGGCAACAAACGACAATGAAAACACAATTCAAAATCTATGGGACACAGCAAAAGCAGTCTTGAGAGGGAAGTTCATAGTTCTATAAGCCTACTGTAAAAAACAAGAAACAATGGTAATAAGTTACCTGACTCTACAACTCAAAGAGTTAGAAAGAGAACAAGAAAAGCTCAGTGTAAGCAGAAGGAAGGAAATAATAAAGATCAGAGCAGAGATAAACAACATAGATACCAAACAAATCATACAAAAGATCAACAAAATCAAGAGCTGGTTCTTGAGAGAATAAACAAGATTAATGAACCTCTAACCAGGGTCATCAAGAAGCAAAGAGACCCATTCTTCCTGGCAGTTAGTGCTGAGAGTGCGGAGTGTGTGCTCCGGGCTCGGAACACACATTTATTATTAAAAAATAATAATAATAAATCTAAGATAACCTTTTAAAAAACACACACAAAAATTTACAAAAAGTTTGCGTCTCCAGCTGAAGCCGGTTTGGCTCAGTGGTAGAGCGTCTGTCTGTGGACTGAAAGGTCCCAGGTTCAATTCCGGTCAAGGGCATGTACCTTGGTTGTGGGCACATCCCTGGTAGGGAGTGTGCAAGAGGCAGCTGGTCAATGTTTCTCTGTCATCGACGTTTCCAGCTCTCTATCTCTCTCCCTTTCTCTCTGTTAAAAATCAATAAAAAAAAAAAAAAAAAAAAAAAAAAAAAAAAAAAAAAGTTTGCGTCTCCCCCCGCTGGAGACTTTTTTTCCTCTTCCTTTTTATGAAATAGCTCAGTGAATCCAAAATCGGTTTGGCTCAGTGGATAGAGCGTCAGCTTGTGGACTGAATGGCCCCAGGTTCGATTCCAGTCAAGGTTATGGGCACATACCCAGTAGGAGGTGTGCAAGAGGCAGCTGATCAATGTTTCGAACTCTTTATCCCTCTTCCTCTCTTTAAAAAATCAATAAGATATATATATATATATATATATATATATATATATATATATATATATATAAACCCGGTGAATCTACAGGCAGCAAAATCTCAGACATATGCCAAAAGAACTTCCAACATTTACAGGCAACTTATACAACTTAATAAAAGAAAGATAAATGTTCCAATAAAAAATGGGCAACGGACCTAAATATTGGGTCTAGTAATAATTAATGTCGTTTTTAAACATTCGTTTAAAATCTTGCTTGGCTTTGACTTGTATTGACATAACCTTCAAACACGTGGTATCTACAGAACGTGTGAAGTGCAATTAACAAGTTTTGCTTGAAAAAGTTTGTGTTGTTTGTGTTTGGTTTGGTTTTTGTTGCAAAACTGGGGCTAAGAAGATGGCGGATGAAGAGCATATTCGGCACTGCATGCTTTACGAGTTCCAATTAGGAAGAAAAGCAAGTGAGGCTGCAAAAAACATCTGTAGTGCTCTTGGTCAAGATGCAGTTAGCGCCAGAAAATGCCAGCATTGGTTTGAGAAATTTCGCGAGGGAAATTTTTCGTTAGATGACAAGAGTGGTCGAGGCCGTGTGTCCAATTTTGATCAAGAAGCTCTTCAAGCTCTTTCGGTGCAAAATCCTCAAATTACCCAACAAGAGCTTGCGACAACTTTAAATTGTTCACAAAAAACAATTTCCAATCAATTGCGTGCACTTGGCAAAGTCCAAAAGTTTGGAAAATGGGTTCCTCATGAGTTGACTGAAAACAACCGTAATCAAAGAGTCACAATTTGCAGTTCGCTCCTCTCTCGTCAAAACCCTTTGCCGTTTTTAGAGCAAATTGTTACCGAAGATGAACAATGGGTGCTGTATGTTAATTTGAAAAGGCGGCCTCAATGGTTGGACAAAAATGAGGCTCCGCAGCCCATGCCAAAACCTGACTTGCATGCGAAAAAAGTGATGATGTGTGTTTGGTGGAATTTTAAAGGAATTCTTCATTATGAACTTTTACCATCTAACCAAACCATTACAAGTGCAGTGTATAGTGCCCAATTGGAAAGGTTAGCCCAAGCTTTAAGAGCAAAAGAACCCGCGCTGATTAATCGGAAGGGCGTAATTCTTCACCACGATAATGCACGACCGCATACTGCAAGAATCACTGCTGAAAAACTGCACCAGTTGGAATGGGAAGTTCTCCCTCAACCTGCATATTCTCCTGATATTGCCCCTTCCGATTACCATTGTTTCGTTCTTTGCAAAACTTTCTTCTTGGAAAAAAATTTAATAATGAAGAATGCCTCAAAAATGCATTGACCGAATTTTTTGCATCAAAATCACAAGAATTTTACAACAGAGGGATTAAAATGCTTCCTGAGCGTTGGGCACAAGTAGTAGAAAACAACAGCAACTATATTGTTGATTAAATTTTGTTGTATTGTTTAAATTCGATTTAAAAAAGTATATTAGAAAACGACATTAATTATTACTAGACCTAATAGAATCTTTTCGAAAGAAGACAAGGAAGGTCAAGAGACAGGTGAAAACATGCTCAAAGTCACTAATTATTCAAGAGATGCAAATAAAAATGACAATGCGGTACCATCTCACATCTGTCAGAATGGCTATCATCAACAAATCAACAAACAAGTGTTGACGAGGATGTGGAGAAAAAGGAACCCTCGTGCACTGCTGGTGGGAATGCAGACTGGTGCAGCGACTGTGGAGAACAGTATGGAGTTACCTCAAAAAACTAAAAATGGGTCAAAACTGGTTTGGCTCACTGGTAGAGCGTTGGTCTGCGGACTGAAAGATCCCAGGTTCAATTCCGATCTGGGTCATATACATTGGTTGCGGGCACATCCCCGGTGAGGGTTGTGCAGGAGGCAGCTGGTCAATGTTTCTTTCTTGTCGACGTTTCTAGTTCTCTATCTCTCTACCTTCCTCTCTGTAAAACATAAATAAAATATATAAAACAAAACAAAACAAACCTAAAAATGGAACTCCCATTCGACCTAGTAATCCTACTTTAGGAATATATCCCAAGAAACTAGAAACACCAATCAGAAAGGATATATGCACCCCTATGTTCCTAGCAGCACAATTTACAATAGCTATAATTTGGAAACAGCCTAGGTGCCTGTCTGCAGATGATTGGATCAGAAAACCATGGTACATCTACACAATGGAATACTATGCTGCCATAAAAAGAAGGAATTCTTACCATTTGCAGCAAGCTGAATGGAACTGTAGAGCATTATGCTAAGTGAAATAAGCCAGTTAAAGAAAAATGCATGATCTCACTCATTTGTGCATAATAAAGAACATTATAAACTGATGAACCAAAAAATAGATACAGAGACCGTAAAGCATCAAGCAATCTGTCAAATTACAGCAGGAAGGTTAGGGAGAGGTGGGGGAAATAAGAGATCAACCGAAGGACTTGTATGCATGCACATAAGCATAACCAACGGTCGCAAACATGGGGGAGTAAGGGTATGTATGGAGTGGGGGGCAATGGTAAGATATGTACACATATAATGCCTTAATTTAAAAAAATCGAAAGAAAAAAAGAAATTTTAGCCTCACAGGTAAGTAATAATGGGTGGATTTTATAGTTTTCATCTGCTGTTTCTTTTGGCATCCTGCCTGGGAAATTAGCTAATCAGCCAGTGTAGACCATATTTTAATTTCTGCAATTGAAGATTTAAGATAATGTGTTTTTCTCTATTACTGAAATATATTTTGGGGTGGGAGCTTGCTGAGAATCAGTCATGGGATGATATAAACTTTCTTCCCTTCCCTTTCTTAAGCAATTAATGCAAGTCAGAGAAATATTGCTACTATCTGTTACCTTCAAATCAGAAACCTGTGTTTAGGATATACTAAGAATCTTCAGAGGTTATTGGAATTTCCTATTTGATTTCTAAATGTCTTTTGTTTTATTCGCACTAGGATGTTCGGGACCCAACAGGAGCCTCCATTGCCCTCTTCACTGCCAGATTGCATCATCCACACAAATCAGTGCAACATGTGGTACTTCAGGCTCTGTTTTACTTGTTAGACAGAGCTGTAGATAGGTGAGATTATCTTTTAGGTGGTCAACATTCAGATGGGAAAGTGATGGTTCTTGATTTGATAAAACTTAGCAGTGCTTTCCATATGTTTCTCAGGTATGTCCTGAGCAGTGAGTGCTATGTATGGTAAATGTCCCATATCCTTAAAGGCTTGGCATGTTTCCAGGTACTATCAAGCTGGTGGCTTTTTTTGTATCTTTACCTGCTGTCTCTTTTCAGAATAACAGAAACTGAGGAAGCAAATTAAATAGCAATTTAAAAATATTTCTTTTATTCTTTTGAAAACACCTTTATTCTACTTGGTTGTTGAAGGGTAATTGGCTGCAGTGGTATTGTGTAGTCTGGGCAGTGATTCCAAGGTCTCCTTGCTGTGTCTCGGATAACAACCCCCCACCCCCTGCTGGGGCTCCTTCTTGTGCTGCTGGGCCACCTCTCTGAACCCCTCAGACCAGCTTCTGCTGTCCCTTAGAAAAAGTTTAAAAGTTTTTATTTAAAAAAAAAAAGATTTCAGAGAGGAAGGGAAAGAGAGAGAGAGAAACATCAATTTGTTGTTTCACTTATCTGTGCATTCATTAGTTGCTTCTTGTATATGACCTGACCAGGGGTCAAACCTGCAACCTTGACATATCAGGATAACACACTAACCAACTGGGTTACCTGATAAGGGCCTATGCTGGTTCTTTTTGTTTACTCTTCCCTGATTGTTGACTTTTCAAATCCCTCTGGGGTCTCAGTTTCTTTCTAAAATAGGAATAATGGCATTTAGCTCAGAGGATTTTGACAAGCAGGAGTGAAGAGTCCAAAAGTATCAAGTTAAGTAAAATCTTGGTTATCAATAGATACATTAAAAAAAGCACACCAAAAAACAGTTCAAGTTATATCTCTCCCTCTCTAAGGTAAATAATATTATTAATATTCTATAGAAAAGGAAACTGAAGTCCCAAGAGGTTATATGACTCTTTTACAGTTGTCACATATTGGTCCAAGCAGTTCTAAGATCCTGAATTTTTTTTTCTCTTGGCTAGAGCATTTGTTCCCTACTATGTTGTTTTTCTGCCATACTTTTTACCTTCATGCTTGCCTTTACAGGTTATTCTTGCTCTGGATGTTATGGGCTTATCCTCTGGGTTAGGAGTGATATATTTAGTACTGACACAGTAAGAGAGCTGTGCACAACTTTAGTCATACTGTGGATTTAAGGGATGGGAATAGCCAAAGGATTGTTTCAGTTGAAGCTCTCTATCTAATTTACTTGTTTCTGCCTTGTTAATGTTATTTTCATAGTATTTAGCTTCTGCTTTTGTTGCTTAACGGGAGATAGATCTAAACTACACACAGTATTTTTCTGAAATTTGGAGAGGTTACTAAGGAGAGAGGTCCAATGGTGTTAAGGGCCCAGTACTGCACAATCCAAAGTGTGGAGTGTCTCAGTTTTTTTTTTTTGTGATTGGTTTTCAGGCATGATTTCCAGAATATAAGTTCCTTTGAAATTCTACTTTAACTCAGGGGAATGAATGAAAGACCCTTTTGCCAGAAAATTCAGTATTGTCCTTCCTCCTGGGGCAGCTTAGAGCGTCAGAGCTCTCGTATAGGCCTGGCAGTAATCAAAGCTTGCTCTTTTGTGTGAGTATTTGATCCCACAGGAGCACCACGGATAGGTAAAATCATAACATTTTTTGTGATGTTCATTTCTTTTTTAAAAGCCCCTAGTGACTCCTCATTATTCAGAGGGTGCATAAGAGTTAAAATGTCACTCTTTTCTCCAAGGAAAATCTTCTCTACAGTGAGAAGAAATTCTTGTTTTCCCATGTTACCTTGAACCAGGATGGAAGAGGAGGAAAGCTTTCCTCTTCATTATGTTATGCCCTCTTTTCAGGTCCAACCACTATGACTGGCCCTGTTACCACTCCAACTTGTCACAAATAAAATTCTTCTTATTCTGACTTTAACAGCAGTTATTACTAATACTGATCATTTTGTGTTTAATTATGCATGGCTTTATGATGTTATTTATTTTATATTATTTTTTTAATCTATTACTGGATTGTAAGCTCCATAAGGGTAGAGTACCTTATTTTTTAACATTACATAAGGGAAAATTTCCAAATCTTCCTAGGTGGAGAAGAAATGCTACCATAAATTTCCACATGCCCATCATTCATGGTCTTCAAAGTGATCTGTAACTAATCTTCTTTCATTGATAGTTCCTCACCTACCCCTCCCCTCGATTATTTTGAAGCATGTGAAGAACTATGTTTTAAACTTCTTGGTGTTACTAGTAGCATACAGCTCAGGAATCAAATTCAGGAGGAAAGCAATTATTCTTAGTAAGGAATTAGCTGTTATTATAAACCTCATATTTTATACCCAGAAAAGTGAAAATACTATCCCATTTTTATTTATTTCAATGCGCCTTCAAAGGATGAACAGTTTTTGGAAATATAGAACCTGCATCGTTTTGAAGATTGCTTTTTAAAAATTAAATTCTGGTCCTAGCCAGTTTGACTCAGTGTGTGGATAGAGCTTTGGCCTGGGGACCAAATGGATTCAGGGCACGTACCTTGGTTGCATGCTCCTCCCCTGCCTGGGCCCTGGCCAATGCTCTAGTGATATTTCTGTCTGTCTTTCCCTCTCTCTTCTACTCACTTTAAAAATCAATGGAGAAAAAAAAATCATTGGGAAAAATATCCTCAGGTAACGATTAAAATATATATATATGTGTGTGTGTGTGTGTGTGTGTGTGTGTGTATGTGTATATATATATATATCAATATATATATTGCCCTAGCCAGTTTGGCTCCATGTTTAGAGCTTTGGCCTGTGGACTGAAGGGTCTTGGGTTCGATTCTAGTCAAGGGCACATGCCCAGGTTGCAGGCTCGATCCCCAGTGGGAGGAGGGCATGTAGGAGGCAGCCAATCAATGATTCTCTCTCATTGATGTTTCTATCTCTCCCTCTCCCATCCTCTTTGAAATAAATTAAAGAATATTTTTAAAAAATTAAATTCTGTTTCCTCTGGCCCTATCTTCTCTCTTTTCAGTCTCCTGCTTCGAACTAGAGCTGTGAGGGAAAATCTATAATTCTTTGAATTTGATCTTTGATGAGCTTGTGAAGAAATGAAAAATCTCTAGACTTAGTAATTGTGCAATTCAATTAATAGCATCTTTGCTCTTGATGAGCCATAATCTCTCTGGGGTTGTGAAAAGAGTCAAGATTTAGTATATTAAGGGCTATTTGAAGGGGTGCTAGAGAAACTTGGGTGTACTTCACAATTAGAGATTTTTTAAATACTACTTTAAATTGGTGAATTAGTGCTTCTCTCTTAGATTTTCTTGAAAGGATAGAGGTATAGAGGCTTCCAGGAGGTCATACAAAAAAATTAATGTACAAAATAACATGAGAACCTGATATCAGGATTGTATTTTGAGCAAAAATTTGTTCTCAATTTTAAATAAATGTGAAAACTCTTGTAATCATCTGTGAATAGTCCAATCAAATAATGATTTATTCTGTGTATAGAATAAAATAAGTAAAGATCTGGCTTGGTAGAAGAGGCAACTTTGAAAAGTACTTAAGCATTAAGGCTGCCTGAGGACTACTTTTCATATCTTAAGTGTGCCCAACTTCAATCTGGGAACTGGCTCACCACCTTTCAGTTTACCTTTTTTTGTGTAAGAAAGCATTTCTTGGGTAAATTACAGATTTTTTAGAGAGAGTAGAAGGGACGGGGAGAGAGAGAAACATCGATGTGAGAGAGACACATTGATTGGTTGTCTCCTGCACGTGCCCTGACCTGCAACCAAGGTATGTACCCTTGGCAGGGAAGCTCTGTCCATTGAGCCAAACAATTTACTTTTGAGAATGTTTTCCAAAGACCATCTATGGGTCCTCTTCCTACAAGTCAAAATATACAAATTCACAATCATTAAACTTAGAGGTTTTTATTTTGTTTTTTAGTTTTTCACAATTATAATGTATTTTCTTAGTGATAGCTTCCAGTCCACTGGATTACAATTCAGTGACCAATCATTATGGGCCCGTGTTGCAAGGACTGTGCTAGCGACTGTTGGAGATAATGAGTGAATAAAACACATTTCCACTCTAGGAGAGAATCAGATAACTATACAAAGTTGGCATAGTTTAAGAGCTGTAATAAAGATCCACAGAAGATTTGTGAGGCTTCAAGAAGGCGAAGTATGCCAGTACATTTGATTATAGTTATCAGGGAGATAGATCTTCATGGAAGAAGAAACTTTTGAGCTGAACATGGAATGTTATAGAATTTGGATAGGCAGATTCAGAGACATACAAGAAAACAGTTTAAATTTCAATAACCTAGATGCTCTGGAACATTCTCAACTTAGGAGCTTTGTACTTGTTAAATTTGGACAAATATGCATCAGTAAGTATAATTCCAATTCCAATATGTGAGGCTTTTCCCCACACTATCAAGCATTTCTTTCACACCAGCTCAGGGTTCCACAGTTTGCCTCAGTTCTGACACTGTCTACCTGGGATTAGGCACAGTTCACACAGGTTAATTAAGGATTTTCAGTCCTAAACACTGTCTCCTTCTACCCCCTTCAGATAACAGTGGCAAGTCCAGGTTGTCACTTCTGCTTCTGACCAATATAAACTGTGTAGATCAGAGGTTTCAACCACCTATTTCTTGAATTTGATGAATTTGCTAGAATGGCTCACAGAACTCAGAGCAATATTTTACTCACTGGATTACCGATTTGTGATAAAAGGATATAACCCAAGAACAGCCAGATGGAAGGGATGCATAGAGCAAGATACGAGGAAGTAGCGTGGAGTTTCCATACCCTCTCTGAGAGCCATTCTCCCAGTACCTCTCCACATGTTCATCAACTTGGAATCTCTTTGAACCCCATCCTTCTGAATTTCTATGGAGGCCTCATTACTAGGTGTAATAGAATAAATCATTATCCATTGGTGATTGAACTCAGTCTCTACCCCTTCCCTCACTCTTCCTTCCCAGTGTTTGGTTTCCTGGCAACCAGCATCCATCCTTGGTAACTTGGTGACATTCCAGCAGTTGCCTCAATAACAACAGACACCGTTATTGAGCTCTTCACTTAGGAAATTCCAAGAGTTTTCAGAATTATTCCAGGAGCAGGGTCAAAGACCAAATACTATATATAGTTCTTAATACAAATCACAACAAAATAAGCATAGCAGATACCGAAGGTAAATCATCTTCTTGTAAGGCTAGTGTTAAAGGAGGCTGTTATTTTGGTCTCAAATATGTTCCATACTTTTGTTTTTGCCCCAGGCTTTCAATCTGCCTCATTCATCTGATTACTTAAATGTTTTTGTTCAATGATTGCTTTACAGCTTTGAAACACAGAGAAATGGACTGGTGTTTATCTATGACATGTGTGGTTCTAATTATACCAACTTTGAGCTGGATCTTGGCAAGAAAGTCCTAAACCTGCTGAAGGTAAGGCCCTCTTAACTCCCATAATGATTAGGATATTTTTCTTTTCTATTCTTTGAATTTAGAAATGATGTAAATTTTAGACATTGTGTTCCACTTAAAGGTCATCTATAAAAGATGACTGATTACTGCTTCCTCAGAACAAGAAATGGTCTTAAAAGTAAAATGGGAAGAATTTAAATAAAAAATGCACAAGAACATTCTGAATCATAAAGGTGTGGCATGTTTCCTTCCTGGAGTTTTATAGAATAAGAATGAATGAAGTGGCCAGTGTCCATGAAAAATGTCATTATTCAGTGACTTTCAGACTTTAACCTAGTCAAAAATATGTGTGTGGGCTTTTTAATTAAATTAAAAAATATATTTTATTGAGTTTTCACATAGAGGAAGAGAGAGAGAGAGAGAGTTAGAAACATCGAAGAGAGAGAAACATTGATCAGCTGCCTCTTGCACAACCCCTACTGGGGATTGTGCCCACAACCAAGGTACATGCCCTTGACCGGAATCAAACCTGGGACTTTGCAGTCTGCAGGCCGATGCTCTATCCACTGAGCCAAATCGGTCTCGGCTAAATTTTTTTTTTTTTAATCTCCACTCAAGGATATGTTTTTATTAATTTTAGAGAGAGAGTAAAGGAGGGCAACAGAGAAATATCAATCAATTGCTTCCCTTTGTACTTGCCCTGACAGAGATTAAATCCACATTCTAGGTATATACCCTGAACAGGAATCAACCCGCAACCTCTTGGTATATGGGTCAACTTTCCAAGCAACTGAGCCACCTGGCAAGGGCCAAAATATGTTTTACATTATGACTTGGTGCATTAAAGTATATGTATAATTACACACATATATATATATATAGAGAGAGAGAGAGAGAGAGAGAGAGTTACATATATAGATAAGGTTCTTAATCTCTTATCACAAACTCCTAGGTCCAGAAGTCTTGAACTTTAAAAGAAAACATGGCTCTAGCTGTTTTGTCTCAGTGTGCTCTGCAGAATGAAGGGTCCCAGGTTAGATTCAGCTCAAGGGCACATGCCCAGACTGCGGGCTTGATCCTCAGTAGGGGGTGCGTAGGAGGCAGCTAATCAATGATTCTCTCTCATCATTGATGTTTCTATCTCTCTATCTCGCTTCCTTCCTTTCTGAAATCAATAAAAATATATATCTTTTTTTTTAATTTTTTAAAAAATATATTTTTATTGATTTTACACAGAGAGGAATTGAGAGGGACAGAGAGCTAGAAACATCGATGAGAGAGAAACATCGACCAGCTGCCTCTTGCACACCCCCCACTGAGATGTGCCCGCAACCAAGGTATGTGCCCTTGACTGGAATCGAACCCGGGACCCTTCAGTCCCCAAACCGACGCTCTATCCATTGAGCCAAACCGGTTTCGGCAAAAAATATATATATATCTTTTTAAAAGAAGATAATATGTATGCCATGCTATAACCAAACATTAATATTTCTACAATGGAATGTATTATAAGGAGTGAAAAAGAATAAAGGCTATGAATAGCCTAGGGTATTTCAGATTAGCTTTTGCTGCCCTGTGATTTAAAAAAATATATATATTTTTTATTGATTTCAGAGAGAAAGAGAGGGAGAGAGGTAGAAACATCAAGGATAAGAATCATTATTGGCTGCCTCCTGCACATTCCTTACTGGGACCGCAACTTAGGTATGTGCCCTGATTGGGAATCAGGCTGTGACCTCCGGGCTCATAAATCGACCCCCTAACCATTGAACAACACTGGCCGAGCTGCCCTGTGAAAAACTTATGAAAAAAATTTAACTATTAAATTAAAGTCCCACTAAGTGACAAACATTCATCTAGGAGTCTATGCACTCTTTGTTCCAGGACCTCACTTGGGAGTACTAAGGAACTAGATTTCTAGAGGTGTTAATTTACTACTCGTGGCCCAGTGCATGAAATTCATGCACATTAAAAGGGGATTAATTAGAGGGAAAATTTTAATATTGCTATTTGCCCTTTCTCTATAATAGAAGTGTCAGAGATAAAAGAAAATTAGTAAAATTTAATATGAAAATCTTCCTCCTGTCAGAGTCTGGGGCGTGCCATGGGACCCAGGGTCAACTCCCTGCCCACCTGTGGCGCCTCAAAATCGCATGAGACCCAGACCCAGCTGGCCCCATCCCTATCAAACCCCACCTGGTAGGGAGCAGTTTCAGGTCCCCTGGCCTGGCGCCAGGTGGGGGGCCACAGCCTCAGGTCCCCAGACCCAGCATCTGGTGGGGTCGCAGCCTCAGGTCCCGTCAAGCCTCGTTGGGTAGGGGCCATGGCCTGAGGTCCCTTTGCTCAGAGCAGGAGGAGCAGCCTGAGGACCCCTGGCCCAACACCTTGAGGTCCGCCATCAAGCCCCGCTGGGTAGGGGGCACGGTCTCAGGTCCCCTGGCCCAGTGCCCGGGTAGAGGGTGTGGCCTGAGGTCCCCCAGCCCAGCTCTGGGGAACAGAATGCGGCCTGAGGTCCCCCATCAAGCCCTGCCGGGTAAGGGGTGCATCCTGAGGTCCCCTGTCAAACCCCTCCAGGTGGGGGCACCGGCTCAGGTCCCCTGCCTTGGCCCAGCGCCATACAGTCTCAGGTCCCTGCTGACTGCTCCTTAAGGCTCATTATGGGAACTTGGCCTCCGCTGTGGGTGCAGCCGTCTTGTGTTATGGAATCTCCCCCCTCTCCACTGTGGGCACTGCCATCTTTATGATGGTGTGATGATCAATTTGCATATCCCCTCTTTTTAAATAAGATTACAGCTTTATAGTATATAGATAGGGTATTATATTGCATGTTGTTTTCTGGGACTTGAAGTTTTCACTCATCATTTTACTGAAATTCCCCTTATGGTATGTAGCTGTGATTTACTTATTTTTATTCATAGTTGAAGGATTGTTATCTTTTAATTCCTTATTCATTGATAACAATATATCAATTTATTAATCTGCTTTTCTACTAATGGCTCCTTGGATTGTTTCCTGATTTTGCTATTAATAGTGCTGCTATGAATACTTTCATACTTTCCTTCTGGTGCATGTGTGCAGGTATATCTCTAGGTCAATGTTTCTCAAATGTTTTTTCATTATTGCCTCACTTAGGAACCTTCCATAGACATCACCCTACCCCTCAAGTTAGTCCTTTTCGAATAAAATTCTAATACCACTGATGTACTGACTGCGTATCACTTTATGCAAAAAAAGGATATGATTTTTTTTGCCTATAATCTACTCTCCTCAAAACTATTTTATCCCCTTGAGGGTGGTATTACCCCTATTGAGAATGTTATGTTCTAGAGCAGTGGTTCTCAACCTTTTTAATGCCACGATCCTTTAATACAGTTCCTTATGTTGTGGTGACACCCAACCATAAAATTATTTTTGTTGCTATTTCATAAGTGTAATTTTGTTACTGTTATGATTCGTAATGTAAATATCTGTAATTTGACGGTCTGTTCAATGCTTTACTGCCTCTGTATCTATTTTTTGGTTCATCAGTTTATAATGTTCTTTATTATGCACAAATGAGTGAGATCATGTGGTATTTTTCTTTGACTGGCTTATTTCACTTAGCATAATGCTCTACAGTTCCATTCAGGTTGCTGCAAATAGTAAGAATTCCTTTTTGATGGCAGCATAGTATTCCATTGTGTAGATGTACCATAGTTTTCTGATCCAGTCATCTGCAGACAGGCACCCAGGCTGTTTCCAAATTGTAGCTATTGTAAATTGTGCTGCTAGGAACATAAGGGTGCATATATCCTTTCTGATTGGTGTTTTCTAGTTTCTCGGGATATATTCCTGAAGTGGGATTACTGGGTCAAATGCGAGTTCCATTTTTAGTTTTTTGAGGAAACTCCACACTGTTCTCCACAGTGGTTGCACCAGTCTGCATCCCCACCAGCAGTGCATGAGGGTTCCTTTTTCTCCACAACCTCGCCAGCACTTGTTTGTTGATTTGTTGATGATAGCCATTCTTACAGATGTGACATGGTACCACATTGTCATTTTTATTTGCATCTCTCGGATAATTAGTGACTTTGAGCATGTTTTCACCTGTCTCTTGACCTTCCTTGTCTTCTTTCGAAAAGATTCTATTTAGGTCCGTTGCCCATTTTTTATTGGAACATTTAGCTTTCTTTTATTAAGTTGTATAAGTTGCCTGTAAGTGTTGGAGATTAAACCTTTATCAGTGATAACATTTGCAAATATGTTCTCCCATACAGTGGGCTTTCTTGTAGTTTTGTTGATGGTTTCTTTTGCTGTGAAATAGCTTTTTATTTTGATTATTTTCTCTTTAGTTTCCATTGCCAGTTGTTTGGTTGATTTGCATATTATGCTTTTATTATTAAAGTTAAACTACTCTGTTTCACCGAAAATAAGACAGTGTCTTATATTAATTTTTTCTCCCAAAGTGGCGCAAGGACTTATTTTCAGGGGATGTCTTATCTTTCCATGCGCTAGGTCTTATTTTCGGAGGATGTCTTATTTTCGGGGAAACAGGGTAGTAACCCTGTACATAAATCTGTGCGTTGTTAGCTCACTGCCACCCTCCAGTAGCTTTCAGCCCCTGCCCTGCCCTCTTGTAGTTCTCCCCTCCCCCATATCTTGCTGCCCTGCCCCCTCCTCTAGCTCTCCACTGCCCACTTGTAGCCAGTAGCTTGCTATTGCCCTCCTGTAACTCCTCCTCCTATAGCTTGCTGCCCTGCCCACTCCGGCAGCTCTCCGCCCCACCCTCCTGCTGATCCGTGATCTGGTCTTTATTCCTTCGGTTGTTACTTGGTCAGTCGTTAGCTTCAAGGCGTATGGACCATTTGCATATTACATCTTTATTATATAGGATAATTAGTAAATTAATTTATAGATGATTGACATCTTTTTTTAAATATATTTTATTGATTTTTTACAGAGATGAAGAGAGAGGGATAGAGAATTAGAAACATCGATGAGAGAAAATCATCGATCAGCTGCCTCTTGCACACCGCCCCCTGGGGATGTGCCCGCAACCAAGGTACATGTCCTTGACGAGAATTGAACGTGGGACCTTTCAGTCTGCAGGCAGACGCTCTCCCACTGAGCCAAACCGGTTTCGGCAACATCTTTTTCTTTTTCTTTAAAATATATTTTTATTGTTCTCAGAGAGGAAGGGAGAGAGATAAACATCAGTGATGAGAACCATTTATCAGCTGCCTCCTGCATGCCCCCCAACGGAGATTGAGCCACAGCCCAGGTAGGTGCCCTGGGAGTCAACCATGACCTCTGATTCATAGATTGATGCTCAACCACTGAGCCATGCCAGCCAGGCAGGATTGACATCTTTGTAGTGTTATCTCTTTCTGCTTTTTTTCCCCTTAATCTTCACCTGAGGATATTTTTCCATTGATTTTTAGAGAGAGTGGAAGAGAGAGGGAAAGTCAGAGAGAAATATTGATGTGAGAGAAACACATCGATGGTTGCTTTCTGCAGGAGCCCTGACCAAGGCCCAGACCCACTGATGAACGTGCCCTTGATGGGAATCAAACCTGGGACCCTTTGGTCCACAGGCCAATGCTCTATTCACTGAACCAAACTGGCTAGGGCCAAAATGCTCTGCTTTTTAAGAAAATACTTTTGTTATGTCTTTCAATAAACTTTTAAAATTACTTATCTTGCATGTTTCTTATGACTTTTATTTCTGGATTTAAAAATATGTACATATATTTATAAAAGCATGGCATGCATCACGGATAAATCATCTTTATTCTAAGACTAGTGGGCTATAAGGAAAGTGAGAGAGACAAATAGACAGGGTATGCGGGTAGTGTGTATGTGCACAAGCGCTGTTATAAATCAGATTTTACCATCATACTTTTAGGCTTATTATCATTTATAGGATGGTTAATTTTTTTCATATTTATCTTTTATACCTTAAAATACCATTGTAGTTAGAAAAAAATTATTGTAGACAATTTTGGACAACCCAGAATTATTTACATTAAGAAAAAATATGACCTTTAATACTATCATGCAGAAATAACCTCCGTTGACAATTTGGTGTACCACTTTCTTCTAGAAGTTTTTCAATATGGTCTTAGTTATGCTCATACAATTTTTCTACACAATAAGTTTCATCAACTTTATTTTATGAACACTTGTATTTGCTAAATAATAATCTTTCCTGTATTTACTATAAATAATTTAACTATTTCTATGTTGTCAAATTAAAACTTTTTTTTTACAATAAATAATTTTTCAACAAACATTTTTATATCCATATTTTTGTATGCACATTAAGTAATTTGCTTGAAATTAATCTCTAGAAGTAGAATTAATGGAACAAGTACTCTAATCATTCTTAATAAGATTGTAAAAAGTAAAAGTAATACAGAGTATCATAGAAAATAAAACATGAAAAGTTAAGACTAACCATGATTTCACTTATTAGATATAAAATCTATAATATTTAGCTTTAGATACAATTTTTTCACTTTTTAAACATATATTTTATTGATTTTTTACAGAGAGGAAGGAAGAGAGAGAGCCAGAAACATTGATGAGAGAGGGTCATCGATCAGTTGCCTCTTGCACTCACCCCACTGGGGACATGCCCCCAACCAAGGTACATGCCTCTGACCGGAATCGAACCCGGGACCCTTCAGTCCTCAGGCAGACGCTCTATCCACTGAGCCAAACTGGTCTCGGCTTATTTACTTTTTTCTATTAATGTATATGTGTGTCATTTTTTAAACAAAATTAATATTATAGTTTTGATCTTGTTTAAGTTTTATTGTGAACATTTTTTAGTTTTAAAGGTTATATAACAATCTTTTAAAAAGATATACCAATTTTTGTTAACCACTACCCATTTTTAGACATATGTTCTTTTCAGTTTTAAAGTATTATTATTATTTTTTTTTTTAATATACTTTATTGATTTTTTACAGAGAGAAAGAGAGAGGGAGAGTTAGAAACATCGATGAGAGAGAATCATTGACCAGCTGCCTCTTGCACACCCACTACTGGAGATGTGCTCGCAATCAAGGCACATGCCCTTGACCAGAATCGAACCTGGGACCTTTAAGTCCGCAGGCCAACCCTCTATCCACTGAGCCAAACCGGTTTTGGCTTAAAGTATTATTTTTAACTATAAAAAAATAAAAGTACAGTAAACGTTTTTATTTATAAATCTTTGTGTTACTCATTATTTTCTTAGAATAGAGTCTCAGAAATGGAATTACCTGATCAAAGTATATATTTACATTTTTAAGGATATGTATAAAACCAAATGCCCTCCAAAAGGTGTTACTGATTTTCCGTCCATCCACGATATATTTGGATGTCAAAAAGTCATTTTGCTGAACTATCTGAGTCTGTAGTTCATTGCTTTGAGGAAGCAGAGGTAATGGCTTCTACTTTCTATTTATCATTTTGTGGAAGTTTAGGTGTTCCTTGAGATTGATTTTTGATCTGGCAGTTAAAGGGGCTTTGGCTATTTATATTTAGGCCCTAAAATAAGTTGTTGCATCTTTTTGTTTGTTTTTAATATTTTTTTAATTTTTTTACAGAGAGGAAAGGGAGGGATAGAGAGCTAGAAACATCAGTGAGAGAGAACATTGATCAGCTGCCTCCTGCACACCTCCTACTGGGAATCGACCAGCTGCCCACAACATGCCCTTGACCAGAATCAAACCTGGGACCTTTCAGTTTGTAGGCCGATGCTCTATCCACTGAGCCAAACCAGTCAGGGCTGTTGCATCTTTTTATTCATTTATCTTTATTGCTGAAAGTATGACAAATGTCCCCTTTGATTTTTTGTTTTAATGTGTTCCCATTGATCTCCTCCACCCCACACCTGCTCTTCCCAGGTCTTCACCCTACCGTTGTCTGTATCCATGGACCATGCATATATGCATGTAAGTTCCTCTGTTAGTTTTTTGCATCTTTGAGGGAAGAGATGAAAGGTGATTTCCTCAAACTTTAATGAAGAGACCTTTGAAGAATTTTGTTCTGGATGCTGTATATTTATAGGAAGTGTTTGCAGACCCCAAAATTAGTAGAACTGAAGAGTAGCCAGAGAGTGATGTGTCAAATTGAGACTCAGTCTTTTGAAAAATAATGGAGAGAAAGTGGTAGCAGATATTTAGCTATGTTTCCTCCTATTTTTGATTCATTGGAAATAATTTCTTCCCAGTTAGATTGCCAATATTAAATGGTCTCTCTGCCTTTGAGAAACTAAGAGAAATTGAGAGCTGTAGAATTAGGGTCATTGCTTTTTTTTTCTTATGCTCTGTGGAGTGTCTCCTTTTCTTTTAGATCTCATTTGCCCTTGAGCCCTCTAGATCATATTTATCAATTAAGTAAATGAATACATAAATAGATGAAGAATTGGGTAAAAAAAATAAGTTGTTATAAATACACAGATACCAGAATAAAAGAAAAATTATGAGACAAATGTGTCTTTCATATTCAGTTTATTTATGATTTATTTTTTCCTTAAAATTTCAATAAGCAGAACTTAAGGATGCACACGTTTGCTGATAAGAAAAGTCAGGATAGTTTTTAATCCACAAAGCTTATGTCTACAAGTATATAACATCAATACTTGTAAAGGTAAATCAGCTTTTAATTTACTTCTTTTAAACCACTTTTTATTCAGCTACTCAAGTGAAAATTGAATTATGCTGTAGATTCTCCTGCTGAGTACGAATGGGTAGAAGAGCAGAAAGCCTGGGCTTGAATAGCCACAGGTTCCATTTGCCTCTCTTGAGTGCTGTGATTGGTATCTTGAAATCCTCATGTGTTTTCCACAGGGGGCATTTCCAGCTCGTTTGAAGAAAGTGCTGATTGTGGGAGCACCCATATGGTTCCGAGTGCCCTATTCCATCATCAGCCTCCTCCTGAAGGACAAAGTCCGGGAGAGGGTAAGGCAAGCTAGCTTTATTTTATTTGGAGGTGGATAGAGATTTTCATCTTTGCTGTTGAAACCAGCCAGTTTTCTACCTTCAAAAAAGTCTTGTCTTTTCTTCTAGAGCACTTTCTGCTTTTGTCAGTGTATTCATGTGTATTCTCTGCTTTATTCTTTTGTTGTTGTTAGTCCTCACCCGATATTGATTTTTAGAGTGGAAAGGAGGGAGAGAGATGGAGAGAGAGAGAAACATCGATGTGAGAGAGATACATTGATTGGTTGCCTCGCTCATGCATCCTGACTCGGGGATCGAGCCTACAACCGAGTTATGTGACCTTGACTGGAATTGAACCCGAGACCCTAGAGTCCATGGGCTTACACTCTATCCACTGAGCCAAACTGGCTGGGGCTCTGCTTTATCCTTTCTTGGCTCAATATAGACTGGCTCTCCCACTGCAGTACAAGTTCCTTGAAGTTAGGAACTGGACACTCTCCCATCATAGCACTTTGCATAAAAATAGTACTGAAGGACTGTGTTCTCTGGGTAACTTAGGGATAGCTACTACCAAAACTTAGCCTATTACTATACAGACCTTTAATATTTAACAATCCTAATATATAAAAAGCCAGGGGCTATCACAACCTAAACGACCAGAAAGATGACCGAATAGCAGGCTGCTGGCGGGAGGAAGCTCTTTCCCTGCCCTGGCCTGGGCGCCACGGCTGTGGGAAGGAGCTCTGGGCCCCCAGCGGGCACAGCAGCACTCGGTCTCACGCAGCCGCGGCATTGCCAGTCTTCAACCTGGACCCTGACAGGAGGGAGGAGGGAGCCCCATTCCTCGCAGAACCAGCTGTTGGATAGCTCGCTGTCAGCAGCCTGCCAGCCAGGAATCCCATTCCCCGGCACTCCAGACCCTCATCTGACACTGGCCTCCCATTTAAATGAATTCAAAGACAGTTTCCCATGATGCCAACATTTGTGATGACTATTAATAAATCATAAGGACTGAGGAGGGGTTTGGGATGGGAATGGGGACAATTATGTGATACCATAATCAATAAATTAAAAAATAAAAATAAAAATAAATCATAAGGACAAACTCTCGACAGAGTAGGAATATTTGTATCTGAACCTGTTTTCACATATGGTCAATTATATGTTGCTTTTTCTTGAGTTTGAAAAGCATGTGTTGTTAAAGTTAAAGTTGTAAATACTTCATCACAAGGGAAATTAGTCAAGCACTCTGAAGGTGTTTTCACTCTTAATGTGGTATACAGGGAGATATTAGAATAAGTTTAATCAATTTATCAATCATTGTTTGTATCAGTGTTGTTTGGTTTTTTAAAAAATATATTTTATTGATTTTTTACAGAGAGGAAGGAAGAGAGATACAGAGTAGAGTTAGAAACATCGATGAGAGAGTCATCAATCAGCTGCCTCTTGCACGCCCCCTACTGGGGATGTGCCCGCAACCAAGTTACATGCCCTTGACCTGAATCGAACCCGGGACCTTTCAGTCCGCAGACCGACACTCTATCCACTGAGCCAAACTGGTCTCGGCTCAGTGTTGTTTTTACATCATGTTTTTGTTGTTTTTATATCATGTCTTTGTTGTCTTATCATGTTGTGATTGTTTATTTATTAATAAATTCATATATTATTTTCATATGCATTTTACTAATTTTCTTTCATCTCTGACTCTTCTATTATAGAGAAAGGGCAAATAGCAATATTAAAATGTTTTCTCTAATTCCCTTTTAATGTGCATGAATTTTGTGCAACTGTATAATATAATTGCATTAGTTGAACTGGAGTTTGACTTTGTTCAACTATAAATGCCATTCAGTCCTTAGACCACCAAGGGGGCAGAGAAGAGTATTTCACTATGTCTCTTTCTACCTAAATTTCTGGCATTTTCTCTTCAGTGCCTGGGCAAATGGTCTATTTACTGAGCCAAACTGACTAAGGTTTGGCATTTTCTTTTAAAACAGCTTGTTGCTTCCTAACTTCAAAAGTGTTATCTAAAATTATCTTAATTCCATTATTCTCTGAGTGTTCCAGGTCTGAAAGATTATGGTGTTACTAATTCACTCATTCCTTCTACCCTTGAAAGAAAGGACATATGAAACATTGACATAATTAGATTTAAGATGAAAAAGTTGTTATGGAATACTAGAGATTTTTGTAGTATAGGATTATGAGGTTATATGAATAGTAATGCAGATCTTTATAGTTGAAGTGACTTGAGTTGGCCAGGAGAAACTGATTTGGTTCTATGGAACTACTTGGGGACCTGATGACTTGGAGTAGGGGAGATCTTTCCTAATATAACTCTTTGAGAAGACTCCTTAGGCAAGTTCTTACAATTTTATATTCAAACATAAATGAGTGTATAAACTCAAAATATATGGAGGACCTTTACAATCCAGGCTCTGGGCCTTGGGAATGAAAACTTGCTCATGACAGTCCTTATGCCGAAACCGGTTTGGCTCAGTGGATAGAGCATTGGCCTGCGGACTGAAAGGTCCCGGGTTCGATTCCGGTCAAGGGCATGTACCTTGGTTGCAGGCATATTCCCAATAGGGGGTGTGCAAGAGGCAGCTGATTGATGATTCTCTCTCATAGATGTTTCTAACTCTTTATCTGTCCCTCTTCCTCTCTGTGAAAAATCAATAAAATAAAAATTAAAAAAAAGACTAACCAACTAGGCTAATATTGTTCTGAATGGCTAGGTGCCAGCAGACAGTAGAATTAGATATTATGCTAATTTCTTCAGCATTTTTCCTGGGCTACCCTTTGTACGGGTGACTTGTGTTACTTTCATAGAAACCTAGCTCTAAGAACATCCATACAAATATTTAAATAAAGTAAATTATAACAGTTGACAAAAATAACCACTACCTATTCATTCTTGGTAGTCAGGAGATGAATTAACTTCAGCAGATATTACTGGGAAGCCTTGTTAATAGCATAAAATAAAGCCTTTGTTCACTATACCTTCCTTTTAGAAGGTGTAAAATAGAGCACCTATTTTCAGGAGTGAATGTGCTATACATTCTGGGAATTTGATATTATATATATTCTCTGGGAAATTCAAAAGATTTCAATCCCAGACAGATGAAGTACTGCCTGTTTTTACAAGTATACTAAGTATTGCAAGTAAATTTCATCCTGTTCTCCAAACCTAATATTACTTTATATCAGTTTTAGGTATATAGCATAGTAGTTAGGCAATCATTTATAAAAACTCTGATGGCACCATACATAATTATTATAATATTATTGACTATATTCCCTGTGCTGTACTTTACATCCTTGAAGCATATTTATTCATTTTTTAAAAATATATTTTATTGATTTTTTTTTTTTTTTTTTTTTTTTTTTTCAGAGAGGAAGAGAGAGGGATAGAGAGCTAGAAACATTGATGAGAGAGAATCATCAATCAGCTGCCTCTTGCACACACCCCCACTGGGGATGTGCCCGCAACCAAGGAACATGCCCTTGACTGGAATTGAACCTGGGACCCCTCAGTCCACAGGCCGACACTCTATCCACTGAGCCAAACTGGTTTTGGCCACATTTATTCTTTTTAAAAAATATATATTTTTATTGATTTCAGAGAGAAAGGGAGAGGGAGAGATAGAAACATCAATGATGGAGAGAATCATTGGTTGGCTACCTCCTGCATGCCACCTGCTGGGGATTGAGCCTGCAACCCAGGTATGTGCTTTTGACCAGAACAAACCTGGAACTCTTCAGTGTGCTGGTCAATGCTCTTATCCACTGAGCCAAACTGACTAAGGCCACATTTGTTCTTTATCTTCATTATTTGTCTCTCCCCCCACACCCTCACATACACATATTCACATGGTTCTTTCTGGCCTTCCAGATTCAGATATTAAAGACATCCGAGGTCACCCAGCACCTGCCCAGAGAGTGCCTTCCAGAAAACCTGGGTGGGTACGTCAAAATGGACCTCGCCACTTGGAATTTCCAATTCCTACCCCAGATGAATGGCCACCCGGACCCCTTCGATGAGATCATCTTGTTCTCCCTCCCTCCTGCTTTAGACTGGGACTCAGTGCATGTTCCAGGTCCTCATGCCATGACCATCCAAGAGCTGATGAATTATGTTAGCACCAGGCAAAAGCGAGGAATATATGAGGAGTATGAAGACATTCGTCGTGAGAACCCTGTTGGCACTTTCCACTGTTCCATGTAAGTAGGAAAAAGGTTTGAGCCAACTAAGATGCTCTGGCATGGGCTGGCAACGGCTCCTTCCACACCTCACGTCCTTAACTGAGATTTCCTGGGTTAGGGAGCATCACTGTCACTTAGATGATGGTTTCTCTCGTCCAGAAAGAGGCATCTCCTGCTTTGGTACTTGTTGCCAATATCCTATGTTCTGAAATTTCTGATGATCTTTGGTAGCAAAGAGGGAACCCTATAATAATGGACACATTTAAAAAATATTTTCCTGAAATGCAGGTATTTTTAGAAGAGAAAAAAAATGTCCTGTCCTCCGAGTGAAATTTGGTCCTTTCATTTAGGCAGTTTCTCTATAGAGTGTTTATTAACATTATTTTTTGAGGGAGGGGTTCAGGTACATTCAAAATAATTCATGGAAGCATTTGAGATATTGCTTCCCAGCAATTGTCAGTTTTACCTCAAATAAATTCTTATACAAATTCTCTGCAGGGTTTTAGACATTCCTTTTTTTCTTAATCCTCACTCGAGGATATATTTTTCCATTGATTTTCAGATGGAATAGAAGGGAGGGGGGACGGAACTGGGAAAAGAGAGAGAGAAAGAGAGAGGGGGGAGGGAGGGAGAGAGGGAGGGAACACAAACGAACGACACATCAGTTGGGTGCCTTCGGCATGCACCCCAACCCGGCTGGGGATTGAACCTGCAACTGAGGTATATGCCCTTGAACTGGAATCAAACCCCTAATCCTCTGGTCCAAGGGCCGACACTCTAACCATTGTGCAACTGGCCAGGGTAGAGACATTCTTTTTTTTTAATATATTTTTATTTTATTTTATTGATTTTTTCAGAGAGGAAGGGAGAGAGATAGATAGCTAGAAACGTCGATGAGAGAGAAACATCGACCAGCTGCCTCTTGCACACCCCTTACCGGGGATATGCCCGCAATCAAAGTACATGCCCTTGACCGGAATCAAACCTGGGACCTTTCAGTCCACAGACCGACGCTCTACCACTGAGCCAAACTGGTTTCGGCAGGGTAGAGACATTCTTAAGTCAAATATATTCTGGCCTCCTGTCAAGAAGGGGAAGGAGGGCTAGGAGTTTAATAATAATTAACTGATGCCGGGACCGGTTTGGCTCAATGGATAGAGCGTCGGCTTGGGGACTGAAGGGTCCAGGGTTCGATTCCAGTCGGGGGCATGTACCTTGGTTGCGGGCATATCCCCAGTAGGGGGTGTGCAAGAGGCAGCTGATTGATGACTCTCTCTCATCGATGTTTCTAACTCTCTATCTTTCTCCCTTCCTCTCTGTACAAAATCAATAAAATATATTTAAAAAAAATAATAATAATAATAATTAACTGAGATCAAGGGAAACAAGTAGCTGAATATATTTCCACATGTGTCTCTCTTCTAATTATGCTCAAAAGGAAAGCTATTTGGAGTTTTCCCTCAGAAAGCAATAGCCACATCCCTAGACACCATATTAAGTCAAAGTAAGTTTATATATCATGTATTCTACAAACGAACAGATTTTATAAAACTCATAGCTGTATATATTTTTTATTTGAAATTCTAATTTTTCTTTTCTCTCATACCACCTACCTTTGTCTAACAAGTCATAATTGTGGACATTCCTGGTTCCCACATACTGTGAAGGATCAGCCTAGTCTCAGAGCTTCCTCTCATTTGTGCTATTTTTTTTCTTCCTTGTGCCTGATTTCTAGTTACCCTAACAGCAGTCTCATAGCGTGATTCATGGATACCAAGCCTACATAGCCAATGCTCAGTTTTCCATTCTCTCTTGTTCTTTGCTTTCAAAAAGCATAAGTACTGATGCACTGACTGATATAGTGACAGAATGCAGTATCTGGTGTTTTCCATTTCCATGTAAGGATTCAAAGATTCAGTTTTAAGAATATTCCTCTGTCTTAAGAGTATCTTTAGTAACTCCAGCTCTAAAACCAAGTAAATATTCTGCATTGCTTTGTGAAGGCAGGAAGGTAATCCCTCATTTGTGAGGAAATGCCCGTGTTTCTGACAGAAACACTTCCAACGATTCAAGTTGTATCTCAGGGAGCCCAGACTCAGAAATCCTCTACAGTTGTGACTTTAAGGACACCACCCATCAGCCTTACAGTTAAACTGCTTCTCTAAGCATCTGCATTCCAGAAAAATACAAAGTAGTTGAAATATCTGCCAGCAAAATATATTTTAACAATAAGGATTTTTCAAAAAACACAAGAAATATATAAAACTGCAATGCTATATTTTCTTTATTGCTGCTTATTCTTTCATACACTACTCAGTTGTACTTTGCAAATTTGATATTTAGAATTATGAAAGAACTTAGTTTGCATTGGTATCAGAGTTAGCAAGATCAGTAAGAAGAAAGGGACTGTAAATGGCCTCTGAATAGAGAAAACGAAACAAACAACAAAATGATTCACAGTAAGAGAAGAGTTGCCTCTTAGAAACTTAGCCTATGTGATTTTCCTTCAACCCAAACTGTACTACAAAAACACCAGGTTAGTTTATAACTGATTCAGGGCTAGTTGATAACTGTTATGGCAACAGAGCATAGATCATTTCTCTTAGTATTGCTCTCAGTTATGTTACCATGTTTTCATTGGCTACAGCAGAAATTTCTTTCTCTCCAAGCTGAGCTCTAGAATTTGGCAAAGTTGTCCCAGTGGGTCTCACCCAGGCTTAAATTCCAGCTTAGCCAAAAATTCCTCCTCTGTACTTCAGTTTCCCTGTGATGTTAGACTCTGATATCCGCGCATTGTCTGACTGAAATGTTTTAGGAATTCATGATTCTGCGAGTACATCCCCCCTGTGACTCCTGGCCTGCTCAGTGTGCTCTGAAGAGGATGCAGGAAGAGAGCCTCTAACAAGAGAAAAGAGGAAAATAATGAGTTAGGAAACAGGTAAAGAAGTAAGAAGTGATGGAGAAAAGAGTCAATAAGCAGATCAATAATGCAAGAAAAGTAGGAGAAGAAAAAGGAAAGCATATGTATGAAGTTGGGAGGAGTATTCTTTTCTCCACATTGCCCTTGTTTCTTCCCTAACAGTTCAAGGTCCTTATATGCATCCAGTATTTTTCCCAACCAGTTTCCCCCCCCTGTCGTTTTTTGAAAAAATCTATTTTATTGATTTTTTACATAGAGGAAGGGAGAGGGACAGAGAGTTAAAAACATTGATGAGAGAGAAATATCGACCAGAGAGAAATACCCTCCTGCACTGAGTATGTGCCCGCAACCGAGGAACATGCCCTTGACCGGAATCAAACCTGGGGCCCTTGAGTCCATAGGCCCTCTATTCACTGAGTCAAACTGGTCAGGGACCCCCTGTAGTTTTGAATCACAGTTATATTGGGGAGCAGGGAGGAGCTCTGTGCTACTATAAGAGATGCACACTTGTCCTCTGGATTCTTGACTTGTTCTAGTGCTTCTGCTATGGGACCCTTGAGATTTTGTTTCTAGCATGACCCCATATCCCCCATTCAAAACACATGTTTGGTCAGCCAGCGTGGCTGGCTGTTTGAGTGACCTGTGCACCAAAAGGTTGCTGGGCTTGATTCCGGTTAGAGCACATGCCTGGGTTGCAGGTTTGATCCACGTACATTGATGTTTCTCTCTGTGTGTCTCTCTCTCTTTTCCTTCCTCTGTTCCTCTCTCCCTTTCTTCTTTCCTCCCTTCCTCTCTCTAAGCAGTTCCTCATATGAGGATTAAAAACAGAAAAAGAAAAAAGCAGGTTTGAATTATTCTCTTGGCACCAACCAAAACAGCTATCTTATCTAATAATCCTATCTAATAAAGAGGGACTATGCTAATGGAACACCATGCCCTCACAAAGATGGTGGTGCCCACAGCCAATAAGGAGGGAATATGCTAATTGATTGCCACACCCTCAAAAATGGCAGCACCCACAGCCACAAGATAATGGCGGCCAGTCCCCTCAGCCTTCCAGCCTGGTCAGAGGCACAGGCAAGGCTCAGATGGCAGCTGCCCAGCCGCCCAGGGCCGCCCAAGGCTCAGGTTACCATGGTTGGTCGAGGCTTGCACTGCCGGCAGTGGCAGCAGCAGAGGTGTGATGGGGCATCACCTTCCCCTGATCGCCTCCTGTCCCTGAAGGCTCCCAGACTGTGAGAGGAGGCAGGCTGAGCTGAGGGACCCCCCCTCCAGTGCATGAATTTTCATGCACCAGGTCTCTAGTTATAATTAGAAAACACATCCCAATCCTATGGAAGGACATTCTAATCTTGCTTCTTTTTGTTTTCTTTTGTTAATTCTCACCTGAGGATATTTTTTCTGACTGGGGTGGGTGGGTGATCAAACTTACAACCCAATGTATGTGTCCTTTACCAGAAATCAAACCCATGACCCTCCAGTGAGCAGGCCAAAGCTCTAGCCACTGAGATTTTATTTTATTATTTATTTATTTTTAAAATATATTTTTTACAGAGAGGGGAATGACAGAGAGTTAGAAACATATTTTTTTCCTTTTACATTTTTTATTAAATTATTATTATTATTATTATTATTATTATTATTTTAACATATATTTTATTGATTTTGTACAGAGAGGAAGGGAGAGAGATAGAGAGCCAGAAACATCAATGAGAGAGAGTCATCGATCAGCTGCCTCTTGCACACCCTCTACTGGGGATATGCCCGCAACCAGGATACATGCCCTTGACCGGAATCGAACCCTGGACCCTTCAGTCCCCAAGCCAACGCTCTATCCATTGAGCCAAACCGGTCCTGGATTATTAAATTATTTTTTATTAAATGTACATATTTTAACATTGCCCTCCCTCCCCAGAGTTTTGTGTCCATTGGTTGTATTTATATGCATGCATATAAGTCCTTCGGTTGATCTATTATCTCCCCCAAATCTCCCTACCCTCCCCACTGTAATTCGACAGTCTGCTTGTTGTTTTACTGTCTCTATATCTATCTTTTGGTTCATCAGTCTATAATGTTCTTTATTATCCATAAATGAGTG